AGAGAAATGGTAAACTACATAATCATAATAAAACTCTACAGAATATATGGAACTTCATTTAGAAGCAGGTACCTGTTCTAACACTTCAGAACCTACCTTTCAACCATCAACCCTAAATAAATTGTCTATAGAGATAATAGAGAAGATTAGCACCCATTTGACAGCTAGATAGCTCACAGTTACTCCTTTTCCTCCATGTTCTTTCAGCTACCAAAGAATCATTAATTGAATGATGTGTATCTGAAATATACAACTCAGAAGCAGAATCATAAAAATTCAGGTGCACATTGATTTGTGCATTTGCCATCTGGGAAAATCAACTCATCACTAAAGTGAAGCAAGGTTTAAATCTTCCAGCTCCAAGTTGACAACAACAAACATCAAATGATCATGATACACAAACTGTCCAAAACTTATGCTGTCGTGGATTTCAGACTCTACTCCGTCTTCTGGGGAAAAGCTCTGGATACAGACTCCAACATAAACAAAGTAGAAACACCAGTCATTCAAACCTCCTTCCCTCCACAGTCAGCACATCCTTCTTTCCTCATATTCAGCTTCCTGACGCTACCTTGAGTGGAGGACGTTATATAAGTGCAAGTTGTTGTTGTAGGCGGTGCACAGAACAATAAAAAACTCGCTCACTCTTACATCTGTACTCGATCAAAAGTGGAGGGAGCTGGGGAGTCAGAGAAGTGGAAATTGAAACACTAAACTTTCAAATTATAATTAAGTGAACTCTATTTAATAAGGTTGTGTGGAGTCCTGCAGCTCAGTGGTTAGAGCACTCGCTTTGCAAGCGAGAGACCTGAGTTCAACTCCAGGCAGAGGGCGAAACCTTGGGCAAGTTTCATTACTCCACACAGAGCCTAATAATAATCCCTCCAAAAACGAAAAATAAATTGGTCATTTTCAATCTAAATAATAAAAATAATAATCCTTGTCCTGTACAAGGAGTCCTGTAGCTCTGTGGTTAGAGCACTCGCCTCACAAACAAGAGACCTGGGTTCAATTCCTGGCAGGGCAAAACCTTGGACAAATTTCCTTAATCCACACACCTCACAATAGTCCCTCAAGAAAAAAACCAATAATAATTTAGTCACTCAATCCACGACTGTTTGTGGGACACTGCTGTGCGCAATTGGCTGTCGTGTTCGCCCACAAAATATACAGTCAATTCATTTTGCAGTATATTCTGCAAAACGCTTTGAGACATCTCGAAGACGTGAAAAGCTCTATATCAAATGCAAGGATTATTATTGTATTTAATATAGCTTCTTATCACATCTTCAATACGTCTCAACGCGCTTCACAGAATACACTGTAAAGTGAATTGACTGTATATTTTGTGGGTGAAAACACAGCATCCAATTGCGCACAAGAGTGTCCCACAAACAGTCGTAGATTGAGTGAACAAATTATTATTAATTCTTTTAAAAGAGATTATTACCCTCGGAAAAGTGATCCACCGATCGACTAACAACCAGACGACTACTTACTGCTACATAAATAGAGGCTTTAATGCTGATCTCTGAAATGTGCTGCTCTCCATACAGATGCGTTAAATATGAAAAGGATACACAAATATTCCCGGTCTCTTAGCAATGCAGACTATTGTATGGCTTGAAGTATTTGTATATCACCTGCCTCAGTTGAAATCTGGAAAGATGAGACACTGCTTCCAAATGCTTCAAAGTATGAAAGCAGAATTACACTGCCCACTTTGAAATGTTTTCTTCCAGGACTGAAGTTGAGACAAGCAATGGTTAGCAATGTACAGACAGAATAATAATATGGTCACTCAATCCACGAATGTTTGTGGGACACTGCTGTGCGCAATTGGCTGCAAAGTCACTCTACTTTACAATATATTCTGTGAAGTGTTTTGAGACATCTCAATTAAGTAATAAGATGCTTTATCAAATTCAAGGTTTATTATTATTATTAACTGAACCCACTGAACTCTGCTTCTCGGTACTGAGCATAGTTAATTTTTAAAAGATAATAATAATAATCCTTGCATTTGATATAGCGCTTTTCATGTCGGGAGGACGTCCCAAAGCGCTTCACAGAACACACTGTAAAGTGAATTGACTGTATATTTGTGGGCAAACGCGGCAGCCAATTGCGCACAGCAATGTCCCACAAACAGTCGTAGATTGAAAATGACCAATTTATTATTGTTTTTGGTTTTGGAGGGATTATTATTAGGCTCTGTGTGGAGTAAGGAAACTTGCCCAAGGTTTCGCCCTCTGCCTGGAATTGAACTCAGGTCAAGATATAATCACCTGTTTAACGACACCGAAAATGAAACAACAATTTACAGTAAGTTAAACATTAAAAAGTTGTTATGGAAGCTGTTGTATTAAGATGGATTTATACAGCTAAATTATTATCATTATTATTACAGTAGCGAACGCCATGTCAACGATGCATGGGCATCAATCTGCAGTTGTTTACCATACCACTTCTAAGCAGATATTCATTGTTTGAAAAAGTTCACCAAATAATATGAACTGGTTTTGTTGGGAGTAAGTTTATTCACAGATCATTTTTTAAAGTTACAGTTTTTAAAAAAAAAATTCAAACACTTGTTTTTTCTGCTTTGTACACCTATGTACAGAATGTTTTACTACTGATCTCCCACATGATGACCATAGTCACTGTGTTGTGTTTTGCCCACAATATATACAGTAAATTCACTTTACAGCATATTCTGTGAAGTGTTTTGAGGCATCTCGAAGACATAACTAGGTGTTATATCAAATACAAGGATTATTAGTATTATTATTTCTGGAGTAATCAGTTAGTACCATGCTTTGCTGGGGTTGGGTGGCTCTGGATCTTCTCCTAGGCCAGTCCAAAGTCCTTGCCCTTGTTAAACTCAATGGCACCACTCTTACATGCAGCTGCCTTTTCTGTACGTCAGATCAGCAGTGAGGCCCATGAGTGTAGTTAGCAGATGCCAAAAATGTAAAAAAGGCTGTATTTCTCTGCTATAGGGAACATATAGTTTAGAACCTTTCTTTTCCTATAGCTATGGGGAGTATTTCAAACAATATTCACTGATATCAAATTATACTTCCTGTAGCTATGAAAAGAGTCCCCCATTCCCCTCTAAGCTTAAAGTACTAATATTGTGATATACTTCTTGTACAATATTCTCAATGTATAATTCAAGTTACTGACATCAATGACAGACTATAGCCACCAGTTCTTACAATGTTGTCTCCAGAGAGTATCTTCGTTAGAAAGTCCAAGGAAAATTTAAAATTTTATACTGCTTGAATTTGAAATATTGCAATGCACAAAATTACATTTTAATGTACTCTTAATGATCCCAGTTAACACACCAACAACAACAACATGCACTTATGCAGGGCAGTGTCTCAGAGCGCTTAACAATGACGGAGCCTGACTCCGAGCCGAGGAGGGGAGGTGGGTGTACGGTCGAAGAGGAAAGTTTTCGGGTGGGACTTGAAAAAGTGGAGAGAGTGGGCAAGGCGGAGGAATTGAGGGAGAGTGTTCCAGATTCAAAGTTATCACTTTCCATATACACATGCGCACACATTATCCTATTACACAAACATATCCTAGCTTCCGACCGTATTTTAAATTGATTACATGAAATTGTGACACGTGAAGCTAGCTAAAGTTGCCCATCTTTCATTCAACAATCTACCTAGCTAGTTCCATACAAGTTATAAAATGATCGATATTAAAGAGTCAAACGCTATCAGTTAACACTTACGTTGGAAATTCCTAGCAGACACGTAAGCAGAGCGAGAGAGAGAAATGTTAACATTTTGGACGACACCCTATATTTTGGCTGCCAAAAAAAAAAACTTTTTGCACCACAAGAGTCGAGATACATAATAGAAACTATCTCATCGAGCCCTAAAAGTGCATGACTGCGGTCGGGACTTTGCTACAGAACCAGACTGATTGAAACTGTTACAGCAAGCAGCACCAGCAGACTACGAGGAAACCTGTCGTTTTCAGTAGCTTAGGTTCAATAAGCCAAATACACTGCGACGTGTAACTGATTTCCGCAGCTGCGGGGCGGGTTTTGTGCCTCAACTGTTAACGCAGCAACTTTATAACACCCTCACTGAGTTTTTGCCAACATGTCTGTATGGTAAACAGCAGTGACTCGAGGGCACTTGTCTCTCAGGGTAGTGGCGGTGGTGAGAAAGGGTCGGGGGGAGGGTGTTATTTTTAGATTTACACACATCTCCCGCACCTTCCAAGCCCTCAGATCACACACCATATCACCAGGGCCTCCTTTCCACAACAATGTCAGCAGCTTCTTTGCCCCCTTCACACACTCACTCACTCACTCAGTCACTCACTCGCGCACAGTAAACTTGGAAGAAGCAACTACACCGCCCGGCCTTAACTCCCTACCCACCCATCACCCACCCCAGCTCTTCAGGAGAATGTTTCAAAGCTTTGTTTCTAATATATGAGAGACAGAAAGAGAGAGAGAGAGAGAGAAAGAGAGAAAGTGTCACCTCAAAAACAATGAAGTCCATGAAATATCCCTGAAGAGTCAGTCAGTCAGTCAGACAGACAGCTCCCCCCACCCCTTCCCTCCCTCCGCGAACATAAATCCCTACCTCGTCCTCCTGAGACAAGTCTTTTATTTTATTTTCCTTTTTATTATAGTTATCTGAATTTTGCGGGAGTGTAGTGGGGGTGTGTGTGTGGGGGGGAGGGGTACACATGAGGGGGTGGGGGCAGCCTAAACCTACGGGGTGTCGCCTAAATAAAAATCTTTAAAATATTTTTCTCAAGAATAAATAGAAAAGGAAATGAAAAGAGAGAAGAAAAAGCTCGTCACCAGGCGAGAGGTGGGGAGGGGAAGCCAAACGCCGCCCCACAAGCCGAGCTCGGGCCTGAGCTGCTCCCCGACGCCTTTAGGCCACACGAAGCCCCGGTTACAAACCGGTGTCGCCTTCACACCGGAGCAAACTGTCACCTCACAAACAATAAAGTACCTGAAATATCCGCGATATGACGGCTCTCTCTCTCTCAGCCACGAACACAACTCCGCCCTCCGTCCTTCTCCTCTTCTTTTCTCTCTCCGCCTGGCCTCCGGGCCGCCACAAACGCGGCCGCTCACCACGACCAACCACACTCCGTCGCCGACGACGCCGCCGCCGCCGCCATCTTGCAGCGCCTTCCCCGATCACATGACTCTCCCCTGGTGAGGTGAGAGGGGGCGGTGCCAGCGCTCTCCTCCCCGCCCCCCGTCATTGGTCAGCCGCCCCCGCTTGCGTCAGCGCGTCCCTACCCTCAAGCTTACGGGAGGTGGGGAGGAAAAGCCCCTGTCGTTCACGTGATTGGTCGGCGCCGGTGTCAATCAGACGCCCTGATTTGCATGTGCGTCATCCGGTCTCTCGCCCCGCCCCCATCCTCAGCAATGTGGCCCCACCTGCACTTGTTGCAAAGGTAGAAGTGCAAACAGCTCAGGTGTGCATCACCATCATCATCATCACCATCATCATCACCATCATCATCATCACCCTTGCACTCGATACTGCGCCTTATCACGTCGTCGAGACTCTGCCCCTCCAGCGCTTTGGGACGTCCTCCCGACGTGACAGGCGCTCCATAAATGCAATTTTGCTGTTGTTGTTGTTGTCTCAAAGAGCTTTACGGGGTACGCCGTAAAGTGAATTGACTGTATACTTTGGGGGCGAAACGCGGCAGCCAATTGCACGCTGATAATAATAAATAAATAATAGTTCATCATTTTATTATTTTTTAACAATACTGTATATTGTTAATAATTAAATTATTAATAACAATTAAATTATTAATAACAATTATTATTATTTGAACACTAATTCATCAGAATACATTTGAATATACAGCCCAGAAACAGGCCATTTGGCCCAACTGGTCTTCGCCAGTGTTTATGCTTTACATGAGCCTCCTCTGCCCTTCCTCACTAAGCCTATCAGCATAACCTTCAATTCCTTTCTCCCTCATGTACCCGTTGAGCTTTCCCTTAAATATTTCTAGGCTATTTGCCTCAACAACACCTTGTGGTAACGTGTTCCACATTCCACTACTCTCCGTGGGAAGAAATTTCTTCTAACTTCCCTATTTGATCTATTTGTGACTATTACTATTACTACGTTCCCCGATTACCCCAGTCCTGGCCAGACTGCACTGGCTGCCTATCGCAGAGAGGATCGATTTCAAGATCCTCACCCTTGTATTCAAATCCCTCCACTCCTCTGCATCCCCCGATCTCTCTGACCTCTCTCCTCAAAACAGCACCCGTTGCCTTCGATCCTCGGGGTCTGGCCTCCTCCTCGTCCCCCTAGTCCTCCGCTCCATGCTTGGCGGCCGTGCCTTCAGCCACTATGCCCTGAGGCTCTGGAACTCCCTTCCTCACTCCCTTCGCCTCGCCCCCTCTCTTCCTACTTTCAGGTCTCTTCTGAAGACCTTTCTTTTCGACCGCGACTTTGGTCACCTTCCTCCCCCTCTCCCTGGCTTGGCCCCGGGATTCCTTACAGTGAAGCGCTCTGAGACGCCGTCCGGCGTGGAGGGCGCTATATAAATCCAAGTTGTTGTTGTTGTATTTTATATTGATGGCCCCTGATTTTGGTCTCCCCCACGAGTGGAAACATCTTTCCTATGTCTACCCTATCAAAACCTTTCATCATTTTAAAGATCGCTATCAGGTCACCCCTTACCCTCCTCTTTTCAGGAGATGGAAATAATGATGATAATAATAATCTTTGCCATTGACACAGCCCCTTTATCACCTCCTCAAACCTCACCCGGCTTGCTGTCTTGCTCAGTCACAGTTGAGCGTTCTGGCACGCTACCCTGCATGAGGGGGTGCTATATAAATGCTAGTTATTGTTATTCTTGTTGTGATTGATAGAGCACTTTATCATGTTGTTGTTGCAATTTTCACCGGGATTCCCCATTCCTCACCACAAGATGAGTCATTCAGGGCTTGTAAGAATCAATGATTCACCTGGTCAAAAATATCCCCAGAAAAATAATTAGCATTCACTGTATGACTGTTTATTTGATATTTCCTGTACAGTATATGCAAGTTGGCTGGCAAGTCGGAATAACTGTGGCATTGGACTTCCCAAATCTTCCCTTCACAAGCTTCAAATGATTCTGAACTCTGCAACTCATGTCCTCTCCTACACTAAGCACCCTCACGCCACTTCACTGGCTTCCCATCCCCCAGAGCATCGAGTTCAAGATACTCGTCCCACTTTTAAAGCCATCCTCGGTCTTGCTCCTTCCTACCTCTGTGACCTACTAAAACGTTACCAACCTGCCCGCTCCCTCCGCTTGGTGGGCACTGGCCAGTTCCACATGTCCCTGCTTTGCCCTCCACTCCACTATTGGCAGTCTGGTCTTCAGCCTTTCTGCTCCCACCCTCTGAAACTCCACCCCAGAGTCCCTCCACTTCATCCCTGCCTTGCCTCCTTCAAGGCCTGTCTCAAGACCCTCCTCTTTGACCATGCCTTCGATCACCTTCCTACCCCAGTCCTCCTGGCCTCTATCCCTCTTGATTCCAATCCCCAGTTTAGGTGCAAATCCTTCACTATCCAATGCTTTGGGGCATTCCCTCAACATGAATGGCACTCCTAGTTACAGTGTACAGGCAATATTAATTGGATCACCGTTGAACACGGTGCAAGGCAATGTGTTGTAGTTGTTGGAGATATACATAATAGGTGTTTATTTCAAATGCAAGGATTATTATCATATTGAACAGATTTCAACACTGGACCCACATTGTACAGCACATTAATGCCTTTTCCTGCTGTTATTTTGAATGTTTTCATTCAAAAGATATCTAGACCTTTCCTCCCCCCTCCCCCCCCACTCTCCTACCTCATCTTGAAAGAAATGAGTCATTGCAGGGTTGGGTACTGCATGAAGCAATATTAAAACTATGCATCCACAATTACCGTCTACCGATGGCAGATTAGTCCATCCTGTTTCTCCTGCTCTTTTTAATGTTTTTGATTTTAGGTTATTTTTAGATATTTGGCAGTTTCTCTCCCAGTTCACATAAACACGCACTTACCCTCACCATCACCAGGAGAGAAGACATGGGTGCGTCAGCTTGGCTGTGCTTTACTGGTGCTTTACTGGTGCTGACTGCCTGTGTAATAATAATAATCCTTGCATTCGATATAGTGCCTTACCACATTGTTGAGACATCTCAAAGCACTTCACAGAAGACGCCGCAAAGTGAATTGCCTGTATATTTTATGGATGAAACACGGCAGCCAATTGCGCACAGCAGTGTGCCACTAACAGTCGAGGATCGAATGACCAATTTTTTTTAAGGAGTTATTGCCCCTGGAAAGCAATCCGTCAATCGACTAACAAATGGCTTCCTTCTGTGCTGTAGGATTGTATGATTTTAAACCTGGAGACAAGAAGATCTCATTGATACAGGTGAAAAAAAACACACAACTACTCAGTTAGTTCCAACAACTTGGGACCCACGTTACAGATGGCAATTAAAAACAACAACTTGCACTTATATAGTGCCCTCCACGCAAGGTATTGTCTCAAGAGCACTTAACAGTGGCGGAGCCTGACTCCGAGCCGGGGTGGGACGGGGGGGGGAAGTGACCATAAGCACGGTCGAAGAGGAAGGTTTTCAGGCAAGACTTGAAAAAGGGGAGCGAGGGGGCAAGGCGGAGGGATTGAGGGAGTGTTTCAGAGTTAAATCAATTAATAGACTTCTTATCACCACCATCGCAACGTAAATGTATTCATTGAATGAAAATGACCTTATTCCCCCAAATAGATTAAGTAAAAAATGCTCCCCAACCTCCACACCGACCGGCACAAGAATATTTGCTCATAGGAAAGAGTTAAGTTGGTGACAATGAATTAGCTGAAGCTCCAGTGAAACAGACCCTGAACTCCTAGTTACAGTGAACAGGCAGTGTTAATTGGATCACTGTTGAACACGGAACTTTCATCTCAAGGTTAACCACGGTGTGACGGTGCAGCTTGTGCTGTTGATGTATTGCACAATCGTTCGCCTGCAAAAGTCACTACACTACACAGAAACTTTACGAAGCACTTGCAGACATTCCAACGTGATGAGGCGCTATATATATTTCACCTTATACAGACTGGCAATGGCTGCACCAATTAAAAAGCAACTGGGTGCCTGCTTACTGCGAGGTAAACAGAGCGTGTGGAATAAGGAAACTTGGCTCAGGTTTCACACTACCTGGGAATCGAACTTGGGTCCTCTCACTTTTGAGGCGAGCGCTCTAACCACACTATAGGATTCTAAAAAGTAGACAGTACACACCAGAACCTGCAATCAACATATTTATTATTAAGTATATAACAATTTCTCAAATATAGGATTTTGATTTTATTTGACATGATACAAGATTGAAAACATGTGATTTGATAAAACAGTTCAGTCACTGGAGGGAGGTTGTAAAATGGAAATTATTACTAGAGCCGCATTGATAGAGCAAGTGTCCCAGGTAATGGGCTTAAGGGGAGAGTCAGCACAGACACAATGGGCTGAATGGCCTCCCTTCTGTGCTCTAAATCACGGTTTCAATTCAGCTCTTAAAAGTCTTGCGTGCAGAAAGGTACTAAGTGGAAGATATGTGAAATTGATGGGGGAGTATGGAAAGGAAAAGAAAAAAAAAAGAGACAGATTGGGGAAAGCAAGAGAGAAAAAAGTTGAAAGTAACTATGAAATAATTGAAGCACGATTGTAAAACTTACACAAGTCTGATCTATATAAAGTGTATAATGGCCTAAGTTGTGCATCTTACCGCGTCCCGTTCAAGAGTTTGTTCTGTGCAAGTTTGACATAACTAATAATTTGCATAAGTCACAGTGAATCTTTCGGACCTGTGAGGTTTACTGTGTTTTTGTGGCTCATGGTTGTCCTCTTGTGACAGAAACCCTGTATTGCGGAAGTCAAACACCTGCAGAAACAGAGCCTTTTAACACACTGACGAGGTCGGAAGCAGAGTTTCCGTTTCCTCATCACAGAACAGCAGCTCACAAGAGGAAACCGCAGTTCTGGTGATGGTGAGGGAGGAATGAACTGCACATACAACGGAAAATAATGATAAATCAAACCCAAACACTTTGAAACGCTGGCAATGACTTTCATCAAACAATTCTTACGTTCTTAACTCTTTGTCTTCCCCACAAGGGAAGTGTTCTGTGCTACTGTGACGAACTGTGACACATACACACACGGTGGCTGAGAAGATTGCAATTGTTTGGTGGCTAAATCTTCACTAAACCCCACTGGAATGCTCAGTGACCCAAAAGTAACTATTCTCTGAACTTTTTCCCTTCAACCATTAACTGGGCAAATTGGAAGGAAAATTCATCAAAAAATATAAAGTGTCAAAGCAAAGTTGTAAGGTCAGGGGACATCAAGGGGATATGGAGAAAAGACGGGTTAACTGGAGTTGAGGTACAGATCAACCTTGATCTTATCGAATGGCGGAACAGTCTCGAGGGGCTGAATGGCTTAATCGTGTTCCTAAATATCTGAGCAATACAGACCTTCAGGGCATCAGGGATCAGAGGCTTTGGTTCATGTGAACTTTGTTGATCCCAGGTTGAGTTCTCCAAGTTGGGGCGGAAAGGAATCTTAGCTGGCGTTGGCCAATGCAACAACTTGCATTTACACAGCGTCCCTCACGCAGGGCAGTATCTGAGAGAGCTCGACAGTGGTGGAGCATGACGCCGAACGAGAGGTGGGGGGGAGGTGACCGTAGGCATGGTCGAAGGCCTTCAGGCGCAACCTGAAGATGGGGAAGAGGGGCTGAGGCGGAGAGATTGAGGGAGAATGCTCCAGAATTTCGGGAGGTGGCAGGGAGCGGATTGGGGGGTTTCCTCCATTGTATAACTACGCATCGCCAGCAGCACTAAACTGCGGGGGAAGAGGGCCCACAGAAGGGGATGAGACCTGCGCTCTCCTTATTCCTGCATCTCCATTAAACTGTCCTCCTTCCATACACAACACTGACCACTCGCAAATTACTGTAAATGTTTGACTTTATTCTCCAGTTTGGGGTTTGTCTGGCTGGGTCCTGCTGGTGGTGGGAGTCTGCGAGACTGGATGTTCCCACCGCTAGGGACTTGGCTCACGGGGTTCAAAAGCGAGGGCAGGGATGGGGGCTAAAGGGGAAAGAGCTGTGCCAAACCTCTGTAAATTACGCTCTGCAATACAATGTACAGCCTGGAGGTCAGACCAGATAAGGGCTGTCCAGCACGGCCACCCCGGCAGCCACTCCTCCGTCTGCAAACTCTGTGCTCTTGGTCCGTAGCAAATGTCCCGAGCAGTCGTTTATCACCATGTTCCCACAGCGCCTGTCGGGTGTGAAACGCACAGCGTGGAGTGAGAGCTGGGCCCATTGAACAGGTTGAAATAATAACAATCCTCGCATTATCACGTGGTTGAGATGTCCCAAAACGCTTCACGGGATATACTGTAAAGTGGATTGCCTCTAATTTTTGTGCAAAACGCAGCAGCCAATTGTGCACAGCGGTGTCCTACAAACAGTCGTGGATTGAGTGACCAATTTTTATTTGAGGGATTATTACACCCCCAGAAAAGCGATCTATCAATCGACTAGCAACAGTTTTCCTACTTACTGCTAGGTAAACAGAGGCGTGTGGAGTCAGGAAACTTGCCTAAGGTTTTTCCCTGGCCGGGAATCGAACCCGGTTTCTCTCCCTTGCGAGGCTCCAACTGCTACGCTACGGGACTCCACAAATCTAAGATGTAAAGCACGAGTAAACGTTGAGTACCTGATATAGACTCCGAATATTCCCAGCTCCGTAACACACTCCGTCAATTTCGGAGGGACTCCCGGGTGCACCAGGTAATTTACCACAGGCAGCGGCGTGACCTTCTCCATCAGGATGTACGCTGACCGCTCTGGGCTGTCTTTAAGGCTTCCCAGAAGCTGTTTGAGCTCCTCCCCAAAGCTGTTATTTCCTGACGAGCAATAACACAAACAGCACAGATTAAACAACTGCTCATATGTAAGAGATTTGGACGGACTCAACCAATACAGATTGTGTAATAATCCCAAATTTATTTAATTAACACAGAATGTCGGACAGGCTAGCCCAGCTTAGTCTTCTAACTGAGACAAATACACACAGTAAAATCGATATCGATTCCACTGAAAAGCACGTTGATCCTCTACGATATTCCAAAATTACAGCTCTCATAGAATTATACAGCACATGGCCCATCGTGTCTGTGCCGGCTCTTTAAAAAGAGCTTCCAAATCAATCCCACTCCCCCACTCTCTCCCCATAGCCTTGCAAACTTGTCCTCCCCAACACACTCTTTTTAAGTGTTTTTAACTCTGACTCCCCTGGTAACAGATTTATGTTTCCCTGTTTTTGTCTCCAGTTTTTCCTCTGAGAAAACAAGAGTTGTAGCCCCCACCCTTCTCAAGCTGCTAGTGACCTCAAGCAGGCGGTTTTGCAGAGAGATACAGGCAACTTCTGGGCAGCCTTCCACAGCCTGCTTATGTCTCAGGTTTGAGATAAGCTGGTGTCTGAGAAATAATCTTCTTTCTGAGCTCCTTTGTTTCCACATCTGTGCTCGTGGACACGATTATTCAAGTCACACAGGAGCGAACATACTTTCTGAAAAAGGTGGAAATTGACCTGAGCCGGGACAAGCCGATATATCTTTACCTTCACTGAACCTAATTAGCACATACCTAGAACCAGGGAGAAGAAGACTGCTATCGTTGATTGTCACAACTCTCTCAGGAGCCCAAAGCTAGTCATTAAAACACATGCCCTAGTCAACTATACTGAAACAATTCTAAATCTGGAATGCATTGCCTGAAAGGGTGGTGGAAGCCAATTTGATAACAACTTTTAAGAGAAAAGTAGATAATTATTTGGGGAGGACAAGTTTGCAGGGCTATGGGGAGTGGGGTTGAATTGGATAGCTCTTTTTGAAGAGCTAGACACGACATAACGGGCCGAATGGCCTCCTTCTGTGCTGTATAATTCTATGATAAGTATTTGATTACTTTCTAAAAGGTCTATAAAAATTAATTAACAAAAACCTTAAAAACATTAAGCATCTTGAATATAATCTTACATATTTATTTGTGTATTTATATACAGGGTGAATCAAAAGTCCTTACACATAGATCAATAATAATAATAATCATCCTTGCATTTGATACAGCACCTTATCACGTCTTCAAGACGTCTCAAAGCGCTTCACAGAATATACTGTAAAGTGAATTGACTGTATATTTTGAGGGAGAAACGCGGCAGCCAATTGGGTACAGCATTTGGTATTGAGTGAACAATTTTTTTTAAAAAGAGATTATTACCACTGAACAGCGATGCACCAATCGACTAACAACCGGGTTTCTACTTACTGTTAGGTAAACAGAGGAGTGTGGAGTCCGGAAACTTGCCTAACATTTTGCCCTGCCTGGGAATCAAACCCAGGGCCTCTCATTTGCGAGGCGAGCGCTCTAACCACTGAGCTACAGAAGAACACTGCAGGTCCTTCAGCTCCCCTCTCGACTCTCTACCCCCTCCTTCGCTCCCTCCTTTCCCTCCCCTCACCCTGACCATTTCCCCCCAATGCTCGGGTCCCGACCCAACTGTACAGCGCCTTGGGACGTCCTCCCGAAGTGAAAGGTGCTCTATAAATGGAATCTTGTTGTTGTTGTTGTTGTCTATATGAGATGTTCAAACTGCTATGTCACATAGACATTTACACATATCAACTCGGTGACAAAAAACATCCGAAATGCCATGAAAGACGTCTCCTGTAATAGCTGCACGCTCTCTACCAATGTTGTCTTAAAAAAACATAATTAATAATTAAAGACTGTATGAGTAAGGACTTCTGATTCATCCTGAATATATTTAATCCACAAATTGTACAGTTAATTCACTTTACAATATAGTCTGTGAGTTGTTTGAGGCATCTCAACGAAGTGATAAGGCACTATATCAAATGTGAGGATTATTATTATGTCAAAATGCAAGAATTATTTTATTATATACATCTAGCATTCTCACAAAGTGAACGACTAATTTTATCTGGGGGAATATTGATCACGCATCTTAAACGTCAACATGAATGGGCACAGACAGAGGATGGCACCTCTGACAACTCTAATAAAAAGAGCCACCTCACCTCCTCCCTCTCGCTGTGGTTTAAGCACAAAGTGCTCCGGTTCTGCCATCGCCATCGCAACCACTTTGTCACCTTCTTCCCCCTGTGGCCACAAGAAAATTATTGAGTTAGGTGATTAGAACAGTTTAAGGACATTAGAGTTAGACATCCCCGCATCCTCCCCTTCACCCCCACCTTTAGAACGCAATCACATTCCGACCCAGAGGCTGAGCCAGGTTCACACACACACACAGACATACGCACACACATAGACGTACACACACAGACACACACGCACAGACACACACACAGACACGTACCTCATCGAAACTGTACAGACCCACAAAAGTAGCTCGAATGCGTTCCACGGCCTCGGGGTTGTCGTAGAGAAACTTCTCCAAGACTCCCGGCCGTGTCAGCTCCTGCTGCACCTTCTTGGTTCCCACCAGGTGAGTGGCGATGTCAGGACACTTGATAGCCCTCGATCGCTCCAGCAGCAACCGCCCGTTCCAGTCCTGGACAGGAGGGAACAGACGAAGGAGGAAATGACCAACTTGAGAATTAACTCTAGAGTGCCTATCCAGTAGTGTCAAGTACAATGACACATAGGCAGTCAGAAGGTTGTGGGTTCAAGCCTCCACGTAAGGACTTTGAATCACAGTCTAAGCTGACGCTCAATGCTGTGCTGGGGGGTGTGTTGCATTGTCGGAGGTGCTGTCCTTCAGATGAGGCGTTAAACCGAGGCCCCGTCTGTCTGTTCAGGTGGACGTTAAAGGTCCCATGGCACAATTCGAAAAGAAAGGGGAGTTTCTCTCTCCCAGTGTCCTGGCCAACAACCCCCCCAAATAAACAAAATTGGGTCACTCACTCCATGGCTGTTTGTGGGACACTGCTGTGTGCAATTGGCCAAGTTTCACCCACAAAATACACAGTCATTGCACTTTACAATATATTCTGTGAAGTGCTTTGAGTCGTCTCAGACTGTGCTGGATGATGTGTGTGTGTGTGTGTGTTTGTCTGTCTGTGTGTACGTGTGGTGTGTGTGCGTGTGTCTGTCAGGGTACGAGGGCCAGAGACGGGAGCACGCCTGTCCAGCACACGGAAGAAACCGGCACGAGAGAAAACTGAACCCAGTCACCAACCTCCAAGGATGGGTAATCGTCAGGTCCGTATCCAGTTCGAAGGTAAGCAACAGCCACTTCATAGCCATCTCTACAGATCAACACAAGACTCACATTAATAATAATAATAAACCTTGTATTAGATAGAGCGCCTTATCATGTTGTTGAGACGTCACAAAGGGCTTCAAGAATATTCGCACCTTAAACATTTGCTCTAATTCTAGAGTTTAAATCTTACCAATTTAAGTCTGAGAACATTTTGGAAAACTGTTTAGAACTGGGACCTGGGCCAATAAAACTTAGTGGTTAGCTCGCTCGCCTCATAAGTGAGAGGATCCACGTTCAACCTCCCGGGCACGGAGAAATCTTAGGCAAGTTTCCTTACCCCACACGCCTGTTTAACCAGCAGTAAGTAGGAACCCAGTTGTTAGTCGATTGGCGGATCGCTTTCCGGGGGTTAATAAAAACGTTTGTGGTCAATCAACAGCAACGACAACAACTTGCACTTATATAGCACCCTCCACGCAGCTCAGTGTCTCAGGAAACATTACAGCGGTGGAGCCTGACTCTGAGCCATGGTGGATGTGTGGGGGTGGGGGGAGGTGGTCGTAAGTACAGTCAAAGAGGAACGTTTTCAGGCAGGACTTGAAAGAGGGGAGAGAGGGGGCAAGTCAGAGGGATTGAGGGAAAATGTTCCAGAGTTTCAGGGCGTAGTGACTGAAAGCGCGACCTCCGATGGTAGGGTAGAATGACGAGCAGGGGGTCGGTGCCAGTCGAGTGGCGGCGCTGGGTGGTGGATTGGGGAGTGAAGAGGTCAGAGAGGTAGGGATGTGCCAGGGAGTGAAAGGATTTGCAATCCATGACTGTTTGTGGGACACTGCTGTGTGCAGGGGGGCAAGGTGGTCCAAAACTTACATGAAAAGCTTTCTATCTGTGTCTAAAATCCCTCTCTGGTATATTTCCTCTGTCTTTCTTCTCAGCACGGTAATATTCCTGTCCGAAAGAGAGTGAAATAACAAGGGTAAATGTAAGGGAATGAGCATCAATTGCTAAATGCAAAGTTCGGAGTGGTGGAGGGTGGGTCGAGGGTAAGAAAACAGAACCTACCATATTCTCAACAAACAATGTGTAGAACACTCTTTTATTTTAGGTTACATAATCCAACAGTCTCACACTAGCTCCTGACTGGGCTGAAGGTAGTTAAGTGGCCCGGTCCGGATGGGATGCAACCAAGGTCACTATGGGAGGCACGGGTACAAATAGCGGAGGCTTTGGCTACAATTTTTCAATCTTGATTGGACACAGGGGAGGTGCCAGAGGACTGGAGAGTGGCCAATGTGACTCCCCTGTACAAAAAGGGACAGAAGGACAAAACTGGGAACCACAGGCCAGTCAGCCTAACATCAGTAGTGGGGAAACTCCTGGAGACTATAATCCGGGACAGAATACTTAGAAGAATATGGGTTAATTAGGGACAGGCAGCACGGATTTGTTAAAGGCAAATCTTGTCTAACAAATCTAATAGAATTTTTCGATAAGGTAACGGAGAGGGTGGATAAAGGTAGTGCAGTTGACGTAGTTTATATGGACTTTCAAAAGGCATTTGACAAAGTGCCACATAAAAGACTTGAAAGAAAGATAGAAGCCCATAGTATAAAAGGGACAGTGGCAGTGGATCCAGAACTCACTGGGAGACAGAAAGCAGAGAGTTGTGGTGAACGGCTGCTTTTCTGACTGGAGGGAAGTGTACAGTGGCGTCCCCCAGGGATCGGTATTAGGACCACTGCTCTTCTTAATATACATAAATGACCTGGACTTGGGTATAGCAAGTACCATTTCCAAGTTTGCGGACAACACAAAGTTAGGTAGGGGAGTAAACAGTGAGAAGGATCGGAGCCAACTGCAGGAAGACATAGACAGAATGGTAAAATGGGCGACACATGGCAGATGAATTTCAATGTGGAGAAATGCGGGTAATGCATTTTGGAAGAAAGAATGAGGGGAGGCAATATAGGCTGATAATACAATCATAAGGGGGGCAAAAGAACAGAGACCTGGGGGTGCAGGTAAATGAATCCTTGAAGGTGGCAGGACAGGTAGATAAGGCTGTAAAAAGGGCAATGGGGGATTCTAGGCTTTATAAATAGGGGCAGAGAGTACAAGAGTCAGGAGGTTATGATTAACCGATATAAAACACTGGTTAGGCCTCATTTAGAATACTGTGCCCAGTTCTGGGCACCGCACTATAGGAAGGATGTTAAGGCATTGGAAAGGGTGCAGAGGAGATTTACAAGAATGGTACCAGGAATGAGGGACCGTGATGATGAGGATAGGCTGGAGAGGTTAGGATTATTCTCATTGGAGCAGAGAAGGTTACGAGGAGACCTAATAGAAGTCTTCAAAATCAAGAGGGGATTTGATAGGTTAGAAAGGGAAAAACTGTTTCCACTGGTGGGTGTGTCAAGGACTCGAGGTCACAGATTTAAAATAGTCTCTAAAAGAAGCAGAGGGGAGGGGAGAAGACATTTTTTCATGCAGCGAGTTGTTCGAATCTGGAACGCATTGCCTGAAAGGGCGGTCGAGGCCGATTCGATAACTACTTTTAAAAACGCGGTGGACGGTATTTGAGGAGGACGGGTCTGCAGGGTTATGGGGAAAGGGTTGGAGAGTGGGATTGACATTAGATTCATAGATTCATAGAACGTTACGGCACAGAAGGAGGCCATTCGGCCCATCAAGTCTGTGCCGGCAACATTGCTCTTTTCAAAGAGCCGGCAGACTCGATGGGCTGAATGGCCTCTTTTTGTGCTGTACGATTCTATGTTTCTATGATTGACGTGAGTCACCTATAGTCCACAGTAAGTAGCCGGAAGAAACAGAGAAGGGAGTTTCTCTCTCCAGATGTCCCAGGCTGATAATCTTCCAAATAAAATGGGTCACTCACTCCATGGCTGTTTTTGGGACACTGTTGTACACAATCCCTGGGCTGTTGCGTTTCGCTCACAAGATATAGTCACTGCGCTTTATAGAAAATTTTGTGAATCATCTTTGAGACATTTTGCTGTGATGAGGCTCTGCATCAAAGGTAAGGATTGTTACATGGTTATGGTAAGTACCTGCGCCAGAGCTCCATTTCCAGACATCGCTGGTCAAAGATGTTCCTCGCTACGTTTTCAACCACAAAGACAATCACCGCCCTGCGCAAAACACAGCCGCACGTCAGTCAGGCACCTCAGTCGGGCACCTCCCTCCCTCACCCAGCTGATATTGTGCAACTGTAAGAAAGTCTCACACACACACACAGATGTAGATGAGAAAGTGAGAGAGAGAAAGACACACACAGTCACAGATCTGTCTGTATGTGTGAGAGAGCAAGAGAGAGTGAGTGAATGAAAGTGAGAGAGTGGAGGAGAGAGAGAGAGAGCAGGTGGAGAAAGTGAGTGAGAGAAGTTGTGAGAGAACGAGAGAATGATTGAAAGTGAGTAAGAGAGAGTGAGTGAGAGAGTGTGAAAGTGGGAGAGGGTGAGAGAGCAAGCAAGTGAGTGAGAGAGAGTAAGTGAGAGAGTGAGTGAGAGAGAGCAAGAAGAGGGTGAGTGTGTGAAAGCAAGCAAGCACAAGAATGAAGCCCGGGTTAATGAAGTCCGACTTACTTCTCTGAGCCATACATACGCCAGGCTTTAGCAATCCCATCAGTGATGCGATAGATCGCTTCACACTTCAGGATCTTAGCCGCCTCCTCGGGTTTCCCCCAAACCTGGAACACGTGTCTATGTTAAATCAAACACAAAGAGACGTTCGTTCAAGGCAGCCCACAACAACAACAACGTGGATTTACACAGGGCCCTCACGCAGAGAACTTGACAGTGGCAGAGCACGGCGCTGAGCCACGGGAAGGGGTTCCAACTCAACTCAATCCCAGGAAACAACATCAGGCAGAATTAAACTCTCCCAAGATCCATTTTATTTGGGGGGGACTGTTGGCTGGAAGTCCCGGAAAAACTCCCCTCTCTTTATGAATAGCCCAGGCTGACTTCAACCTCGACCTAACCAGCCTCGGTTTAACATCTCACCTGAGGGTCAACACCTCCAACTATATAGCGTAACCAGCACTGCCTCGGAGTGTCAGCTTAGACAATACAAGTTCCAAGTCCCAACATGGGCCCGGTCACCTCTGAGTTACTGTCCGGACTTTAAACTGACAGTCCAGGCTGACTCTCCAGTGCAGTGTTGGGGGGAGGAGTGCTGTATTGGTGGAGGTTGGCTGCTACTGCTTTCGCCTCACACAACACAGAAGTTGTTAGTATTACACATTATCGTAAATTCTGTGAAGCGCTCTGAGGGGTTCTCCTGACATGAAAGGCAATGGATCAAATGCGAGTATTATTATTATTATAATAAAATTCATAAGGAAGAGAGAAACTGAAAGCCATCACTTGCCACGTGTCATAGGAACAGGAGTAGGCCATTCAGCCTTTCGAGCCTGTTCCGCCCATTCTATTCGATCATGACTGATCGATACCTCAACTCCATTTATCCGCTTTTGCTCCATATCCCTCTGACCCAACAAAAATCTATCCACCTCAGTCTTGAAAATTTCAATTGATCTAGTATACCAACACCCCCAACTTGCATCTATACAATAATCATCCTTGCATTTGATAAAGTACCTTATCACATCTTCGAGACATCTCAAAGCGCTTCACAGAATATACTGTAAAGTGAATTGACTTTAAGTTTTGTGGGCGAAACACGACAGACAATTGCGCACAGCAGTGTCCCACGAATAGTGACCAAATATAACTTAAAAAAAAATGTTGACAGGATTATTACCCCAGAAAACACTCCACCAATTGACTAACAACTGGGTTTCTACTTACTGCGTGAGGAGTAAGGAAACTTGCCCAAACCTTTTGCACTGTCTGGGAATCGATCCCAGGTCTCTCGCTTGCGAGGCAAGTGCTTAACCACTAAGTTACAGGACTCCACATAGCGGCCTTCACATGAGGCAGCATCTCGGAGTGAGCATTTAAACCGACACTTACCGATGTATATCTGGGATACGGCTGCCCAGCCCAGCGAAGCTTGCTGCTATCGTGTTGATTTCTATTTGCTTGAGGGTTGGTTTGTCATTTTGCCCATTGTGAAACATGTAATCTGATCGGTTTATACCTAAAATAATATTCTAAACAGGGATAGAAAACACATACATTTTACTCCTCTCTTTGTAACATTCAGCGAGTGGCGCTACGTCACACAGTGAAGCACTCTCAGCCATTTAGCCTCTCAGTCTCACTCTGTTTTTTAAAAAAAAGTTACAAATGAGAGTTGAACTGATCTCTAACTTCTGAATTTTTTTTTGGATCAACCGGGTGTTTGACTCACACAGAAGCCCATCACCATGCTTAAGAGGATCCAAACCAGACTGCAAGTTCAACATGTCACCCACATATGGAAATTCCCGTGTGTGGAATGGAATGAGCACGGAACTGCAGAAGGTCTTAGGTGGCAGGTCAGCAAAAGCCAAGGGTTGGAACACAGCCCTCCCCACCCCATCCCAGTAAAGACTGTGCATTTGGGTAACTGCTGAGAGCTGAACCAGTTACACCTACAGCTCAGCAAAGATGGAGATGTAGATTACCTGGCGGATGCCTTCATCACGCACACTTTTGTAGATCTCAAATAGATGAGCCGTAAAATCATCCACTCTTATAGTGCTTAAGAACAAGGGAGAAAGAGAAAGAATTAGGAGGTTGAAATTAACAGTGGGCATTCAAATGGATAGTTTGAAAACTGAGCAGTGTCTAACCTAACTCACCAATAATATGTATATATATATATAAAAAATAAAGAGATTTAAAGGTTGGGACAATTCACTTACCTTTCTAGGGCTTTGGTTAGAAATTCCTGGTCCTGACTGACTCTATCAATCAGGAGATTGAAATCTTTCTGGACATCCATCGCCTCTTTAAAGAGATTCTCTGGCACCGGTGAAGGGAAGAGACTGAATGGGGCGTAGTTGATCATCTTAAGAAAACAGATTTTAAAAAATATATATCAAAACAAATAAAAGAAAATGGTTTTAAGTCACTGTAAAACAAGAGTGAGATTTATTGTCAAAGGAATCTGGTCATTTTTAATCACGTTAGCGCCTGATAGAATAGCACTCAAACAGGTCAAATTTGTTCACATCACGTCTGGGAGTGGGACATATTGGTAAGTGCCCAAAATGACTGCGCAGTTTGCCTCTAACACTGTCACTCTGATTGACACCAATTACACACAAAATAATTTGAGACATCAGGAGGTTACAGGTGTTGTATTAAGTGCAAGGTAAAGAAAGCGTGATGAACCGGATTCGATTCCTGGCAGAGCGAGACGTTGAACAAGTTTCCTTACTCCACACAGAGCCTAATAATAATCCCTCCAAAACCCAAAACAATAATAAATTGGTCATTTTCAATCTACGACTGTTTGTGGGACATTGCTGTGCGCAATTAGCTGCCGCGTTCGCCCACAAATATACAGTCAATTCACTTTACAGTGTGTTCTGTGAAGTGCTTTGGGACGTCCTCCCGACGTGAAAAGCGCTATATCAAATGCAAGGATTATTATTATTATTCCTCTGTTTACCCAGCAGGAAACAGCAGGATCTGGTTGTTAGTCGATTGGCGGATCACTTTCTGGGGGTAATAATTCCTTAAAAAAGTTTCAAAAATATCTGGTCATTCAATCCACGACTGTGTGTGGGACACTCCTGTTTCACCCACAAAATACAGTCAATCCATTTTAAAATATATTCTGTGAAGCGCTTTGAGACGTCTCGACAACGTGATAAGGCGCTGTATCAAAAGCAAAGATTATTATTATTTGTTGCCTGCAAAGTACACAGAAATTCATGTGAAGTGCTTTGAGACGTCTGCCCGACATGAAAGGTGCTATGTGGAATGCAAGGATTGTTGTTAATATTATTATTATTGACCAAAATTACAGTCTCTTACGCTCGTCACACTCTGCATGTTATGCCTACGATCAAAGCATGGGCAGCAAGTTGTGCAAAGCATTATTATTATTATTAATAATAAAAACACTAAAGAACAAACCTCGGATGAATTTGGATCCTCGACGGTCCTCATGAGGACTCCGTGGTACAGTGCTGCATCTTTGGCGGCAACCATAAGCCCCTGAATAAGGTACGTGTCCTGCAGGATTTCTTCTGGCACCGCGGAGGTCACAGACATCTACACAACAACAACAAATTAAATTTACACAGCAGCTTTCACATCAGGAGGACGTCCCAAGGTGCCGGACAGTCAACGATTTGCACCCTAGCTGGGGTTTGGGATCAGGAGGTAGGAAAGGGATAGGGGGGGTGATCAAAGGTGTGGTTGAAAAGGAAGTGCTTGAGACAGGCCTTGAAGGAGGTTAAGGGAGGGGGCGAGATGGTGGGACTGTAGGATGGAGTTCTAAAGGGTGGGAGCAAAAAGGCTGAAGACCCAACCATGCAGCCCGGGGGCTGTGAACCAGGCCAGAGCCTGATGAGCGGAGGGAGCGGACAGTCGGTAGAGAGTTAGCAGGTCACAGAGGTAGGGAGGAGCAAGGCTGTGGAGGGGTTTGAAAATGAGGATGCAAATCTTGAATTCTGCTCTCTTGGGGCACTTCACAGTGGTAGGGGGTTGGACCCTGGGCAAGTGGGAAGAAGGAGGCGGCGGAAGAGGTAGGTTTCCTGGAGGAATTTGAAGACAGAGAGAGAACAAAACAGGGGAATAGAGACAGGGAGATCCTGAGGCTTCAAACTTACGTTAATTCCGAAAACTATATGTTAGACATGAAAATACTATAATTCTAGTTTCCCATTGCAGAGATAAGAGGCTGGTATTACAATCTGGGGTCTGAGGTAAGACATATTTCATATATATATATAAAAAATATATTTATGATACATATAAAAAATATACAGGCAATCCTGGCATACAGGTGTGATGGTTTAAATGCAGGATTCACCATGCCTTCCTTCTCCCCCTCACACAGGCTCTGATGTGGTTTGATACGGGTTAATACAAAACCCATGTTACCATCCATGCTGAAGAGCAGGAAATCTCAGGGTAACCGAGTTAGCCACAGACTTCATTTTCCCCACTGGTTTCTCTCTCTCTCTGACACACGATGCAAATTTAACAAAACGCTGCAGGAGATTAAACAAGGTTTCTCAGCCTACAATACAATAATATCCTCACACTCTTGTTCAAATCCCTTCACTCTCTAGCACCTCCCTACCTCTCCAGCCTCCTTATTCCCCAATCCACCACCCAGCGCCTCTGCTCGATTGGCACCGACCCCCTGCTTGTTCCTCACATCCCCTGCCCCACCATCGGAGGTCGCGTTTTCAGCCACTATGCCCCAAAACTCTGCAACCCTCTCCCTCAATCCTTCCACCTTGCCCCCTATCTCCCCTCTTTCAAGTTCTACCTGAAAACCTTCCTCTTCGACCGTGCTTACTGCCACCTCCTGCCTCTCCCCGGATCGGAGTCTGGCTCTACCACTGCTAAGCGCTCTGTGACGCTACCCTATGTGGAGGGCACTATATAAATGCAAGTTGTTGTTGCAATAATAATTTATTATTACAATATAATGCACTCTTGTATACGTTTATATGATGCCTCTCACATCGGAGGGTGTGTCAAAGCTCTTAACATTGTTGGCTGGACAATATCCCAATTGGTGATAGGAGCAGAACATATGATAAAGCAGAAAGAATGCAAGAAAACAACAACAACAACAACAAGATTCCATTTATTGAGCGCCTTTCACGTCGGGAGGACGTCCCAAGGCGCTGTACAGTTAGGTCAGGACCCGAGCAGGGGGGAAATGGTCAGGGGGAGGGAAGGGAAGGGAGGGAGCAGGAGGGGGTAGAGAGTCGAGATCAAAGAACATCATCAAAGAAGCCATTAAGGCAGGTGACCACATGTTTAAAGTTTAAATCATAGGCAGCACATCAGTATAATGAAAGAATTAGCTGCAGCAGCCCAAATTAACCAGAAACCCTGCTTTACCTAACCACTTTTTGCACCTCCATGAAACCTAACCTTTCTTCCAATATAAATTCCTTTCTTGCAAACAGTTTGAACTTGAAAGAGGAGAAACATAATAATAATCCTTATATTTGATACAGTGCCTACCATCACTACCAATCGCCCTACCATCGGTAGTCGGGCCTTCAGCCTCTCAGCCCCCAGGCTCTGGAACTCCATCCCCAGTGCCTTCGCCTTGCTTCCTCCTTTTCCTTCTTCAAGGCCGGTCTCAAGACCTTTCTTTTTGACCGTGCCTTCAGCTCCCCTCTCGACTCTCTTCCCCCTCCTCGCTCCCTCCCTTCCCTCCCCTCACCCTGACCATTTCCCCCCCTGCTCGGGTCATGACCCAACTGTGCAGCGCCTTGGGACGTCCTCCCGACGTGAAAGGCGCTCTATAAATGGAATCTTGTTGTTGTTGTTGTTGGCCTGATCATGTCTTCCAGACGTCTCAAAGTGCTCTGCAGACTATGGTGCATACTTTGTGGGTGAGACGCGGCAGCCAATTGCGCACAGCAACGTCCCACAATCAGTCGTGGGTCCAGTCAACAAATTATTATGATTTATGAAGGGATTATTACTTCTGGAAAGCGATCGGTCAATCCACAACAACAACAAGATTACATTTATAGAGCACCTTTCACGCGGGGGGACGTCCCAAGGCGCTGGACAGTTGGGTTAGGACCTGAACAAGGGGGAAGTGGTCAGGGTGAGGGGAGGGAGGAAGTGGTCAGGGTGAAGGGAGGGAGGGAGCGAGGAGGGGGTAGAGAGGCGAGAGGGGAGCTGAAGGCTGAAGGTCAAAGAGAAAGGTCTTGAGACCGACCTTGAAGGAGGAAAGGGAGGAAGCGGCGAAGGCACTGGGGATAGAGTTCCAGAGCCTCGGGGCTGAGAGGCTGAAGGCCACCGATGGTAGGGCGGTTGGGGCGGGGGATGTGGAGCAGACCGGGGCCGGAGGAACGGAGGGTACGGGCAGGTAGGTAGGGGGATAGTAGGCCGGAGAGGTAGGAGGGAGCGAGGCCGTGAATGGCTGTGTAATAATAATAATCCTTGCATTTGATATAGCACTTTTCACGTTGGGAGGACGTCCCAAAGTGTGTGGGGGTGTGTGTGTGTGTGTGGTAATGGGTGTGGGTGGGGGGGGTGGGGTGTGGTGGTAGTAGGGGGGGGTGTGGAGGGTGTTGGGGGGGGTGGGGGTATGGGTGTGTGTGGGGGCGGTGGAGGGTGTGTGGGGTGTGGGGGTGTGTGGGGGGTGTGTGGTGGTGTGTGTGTGTGGGGGTGTGTGGGGGGTGTGGGGGTGTGTGGGGGGGGGTGTGGGGGTGTGTGGGGTGTGTGGGGGGGTGTGTGTGGGGGTGTGTGGGGGTGTGGGGGGGTGTGGGGGTGTGTGGGGGGGTGTGGGGGTGTGTGGGGGGGTGTGGGGGGGTGTGTGTGGGGTGTGGGGGTGTGTGGGGGGTGTGTGTGGGAGGTGTGGGGGTGTGTGTGGGTGTGTGGGGGTGTGTGGGGGTGTGTGTGGGGGGTGTGGGGGTGTGTGTGTGGGTGAGGTGTGGGGGTGAGGTGTGGGGGTGTGTGGTGGCAGTGGGGGTGTGTTGGGGGTGTGTGGGGGGTGTGTGTGGGGGGTGTGGGGGTGTGTGTGTGTGGGTGTGTGTGTGTGTGGGGGGTGTGTGGGGGTGTGTGTGTGTGGGGGTGTGTGGGAGAGTGGTGGTGTGAGGGTGTGTGGGAGAGTGGTAGTGGGAGGGTGTGTGTGGGGGGTGTGGGGGTGTGGGTGTGTGGGGCGGTGTGTGGGAGGGAGGTGTGGGGGTGTGTGTGGTGGTAGTGGGGGTGTGTGTGGGGGGGGTGTGGGGGGGTGTGGGGGGTGTGTGTGGGGGGGTGTGGGGGTGTGTGGGGGGGTGTGTGTGTGGGGGGGTGTGGGGGTGTGTGGTGGCAGTGGGGGTGTGTTGGGGGTGTGTGTGGGGGGGTGTGGGGGTGTGTGTTGGGGGTGTGTGTTGGGGGTGTGTGGGGGGGTGTGTGGGGGGGTGTGTGTGGGAGGTGTGTGGGGGGGAATCTTGTTGTGTGGCACAGCGTCGGAATCCCCTGTGAGGCGGAGCTCGGAGGCCGCCGGTTACCTCGGAACGTCTGCTCGTGCCGCTGTACACTCGGGAAGAGATCATCCCGGCGGTCACGTGGCCTCTCACGTGGGGGGGGGGCAAAGGCGACGCTTCCCCCGCGGGCCGCCCCGAGGAACGGTTTCGCTGATTGACAGCTCGGATGGGCCACTCACGACCGCGGGTTCCGGGAGTTCGCACCAATCAACGCGCGCGGGCGGGGCGGGGCCTGGACGGCGTCCCTGTTGCCATAGGGACGGGACCAGCGCAAAGCCGGGGGGGGAGGGGCCTCACGGGTCAGCACGTGACCTCCGGCCTCAGTGCCAGTGACAGCGCCGCTTTGTGACTGTTACGCCTTGTGCTCGCGCCTCAGTTGGTGCTCAGCCAACTGTCCAGACTGTCCGGACTGTCCAGCTGTCCAGCGGCCTCGGGACGACCTTCCCACGTCAAAGGCGCTGTGCAAATATATCCTGTTGTTGTTGTTGTTGTCATTGTCAGAGAGAGAGAGGGGGGAGGAGGGGAGGAGGTGGAGCTGTTGGAGGGCCCTCAAAGTGTGTGGGGAATAAGGAAACTTGCCCAGGAAACAGGAAATAGCCCGGAATAGAGGTTAAATATGCTTTAAAGTAAAGCAATGAGCCGGTGTGTAAGCCTCCACCCCCCCACCCCCCACGTTTGCACCACACGCCTGTTGGATTCCATCCTCTGTTAAACAGTATTACTATTTATTGCTCTCAAAATTCTTTTGCCAAATGCTGCGCACAATTGGCTGCAGCGTTTTGCCCACAGAAATGCAGTCGGTTCACTGTACGGTATCCTCTCGACGACGTGATCAGGAGCTATATCGAATGCAAGGATAGTGTTGTTGTTATTTTTAATGGGGAAGTTGGCCACCGTGGCAGATGCGTTATTTGCCTCTTGTAAGTCTCCGAGCGTCCAGAGACAATGTAAGACTGCAGCGTCCTTATGACCAGTTAAAACATTGATCATTGTGTTGGGTGTTGTGGATATTATCACTCCTGTATCTAAACCTAAAATTAATAATAATCCTTGTACTTGGTATAGTGACTTATCACGTCATTTGAGTCGTCTCAAATTGAGTCGTGTATTTTGTGGGCGAAACGCGGCAGCCAGTTGCGCACAGTAGTGTCCCACAAACAGCCAAGGGGTGAGTGACCGATTTTATTTGGATGGAGAGGGACGTTGACATGAAATCTCATTGCGGTGTTCCAGCTGTGATATGGCCAACTTTAAGGGGCTACAGGCCGGTGGGGAAACCAACAGGAGTCTGTGAGCATCGATAAAGCTAATGTACAGTATTTTGTAACAGAAGCCAAGCATTCCTTCCAGGCAATTTGACTGATTGTTCACTCTCGATCAACGTCAACATACCCAGATAAAACGCACAAAGTAGTTTGTAAGTCTGACTGTAGGGCCACTGACAACTCTACAATTGGTAGCATGTCCTGTGTTACTGCTGACACGCTGGGTCTGGGAATCAGCCCCGGTTTTGTTTTGAAACTAACAAAAAGCAGAAGATAAGGCCTTTCCTTGTCTGGCTTCAATCTCTTTGCCAATCAACATCTAAAGCACCATCCTCTCAGCATGAATACAATGTAGAGACATTAACCCTAGGGTCTTAACTCTGTTACAGTTTCTAAAGTGGCCGTGGTGTATGTTTGACATCCCTCTCTACTGTGACTTCCAGAGCTTTGAAATGTTAAAGGTTATGGCAGGGCTTATCTGTTATACCCAAGTCGTCTCCTGCTCTGCGTTGTGTCTAGGAGCTGCCCTTGAGCAGATTCATTGTGAATGATTTTCTAGCTTCATTTAAAATAATCTACTAGTTGATGACACAGAAGAATTTCAGCAAAGCACTGACTTAGCGGTGGACAGGAACACGTTCAGCACACGGAGCTCTACCATATAATAATATGAATTAATCCTTGCATTTGACGTACCACTTTTCACAACTTCTAGACGTCTCAAAGCGCTTCACAGAATACACTGCAAAGTGAATTGACTGATATAAGACAAAAAGGCGGTTTGAAGTCCACAAAGTGAAGCCTTTTAAATAATTTAATTTCCATTTGTGGAAGTTTGCATTTGTTTTGGCTCCTGACAATGAGTGTTCCTGGAGGAGTGGAAACTCCCCCAGGATCACGCTGGAGATCTTCCAGGAGCTCGACACGTGATGATGTGGTGCTTTGAACCCACGGCTTTCTGGTTCACGGGTGACAGTGACGCCGCCCCAACTGAGCTGACACTTCCAAGTTTCACCTGCTACGATCCTATGCATTGTTATTACATTTATATGGAATTGAACTCAGGTCTCTCACTTGCAAAGTGAGTGCTCTAACCACTGAGCTACAGGACTCCATAGGACTTGTATATACCGTATATACGAGGTGTAATAATCCTTACATTTGATACAGGTTATTATTATTAGGTCTTCGAGATGACTCAAAGCGCTTCCCAGAATATACTGTAAAGTGAATTGACTGTACACCTGTGGGCAAAACGCAGCAGCCAATTGCGCACAGCAATGTCCCACAGACGGTCGTGGATTATTATTATTACTGTTTTTTTTTCTTCCTGAGGTTTCCAGCCAGAGGGCGAAACCTTGGGCAAGTTTCCTTACTCCACACAGAGCCTAATAATAATCCCTCCAAAACAAAACAATAATAAATTGGTCATTTTCAATCCATGACTGTTTGTGGGACATTGCTGTGCGCAATTGGCTGCCGCGTTCGCCCACAAATATACAGTCAATTCACTTTACAGTGTGTTCTGTGAAGCGCTTTGGGACGTCCTCCCGACGTGAAAAGCGCTATATCAAATGCAAGGATTATTATTATTATTATTATTATTATTATTGCAGTGGCCCCAATCATTACCGTTTGTGTCCTTCCTGAGGGGAGTACCTTCAGGCGGGTGTGGAGGAGGGAAACGCCGCGATCCCGGATAGGAGTGGAGGGAAAGCGCGTTGTCTGACAGAGGGGAACCGGAGTCCGTGAGCGAATCAGTAGCGAATGGGGCGTTGAAGCGCAACGCGAAGGGGCGCCCCGTCATTTCCTGGTCGGGATGCGCTCGGCCGCTCGCAGTGGCCGGAGAGAGCCGCGCGGGGGGACCGGGACCGGGAGGGGGGACACCGACTGCCGCCGAGAAGGAGGGGAGGGGAGGGGGGGGGAGAGCCGCTGTCGATTCGAAGCCGAAACTGCGGGGGGTGACGGCCGCGGGAAAATGAGCCGAAAGAGGCCCCGAGAGGACGATAACGCGCTCGCGGTGCCGGAGGGGAGCGCCGCCCCGGTCCGTGTCGGAGTCAGCGCCGACTACAGGGACTGGGGGGTGGAGGACGTCTGCAGGTACCTGAGCAGCAAAGGCTGCGGAGACGTGCAGCAGCTCTTCAGAGGTACGTCGGTGCTCGGGTCCCGTTTCGCTTCGTGGGACGAGAAGGGGGTGAGAGGCAAAAAAAAAAAACACAGCCCCAAGTGGGGAAGTGTTGGAGCAGCACAAGAGGGACAGTGTCCGCAGATGTCTGTACCCTAAAGGCACATCGCTCGCTCAGGGGCTCGGGGGTCACCAGCTGCTGCAGGTTCGGCTTCCACTGCCCGAGAGGGGCTGAGGATGTGCTGCCGGTAGCCCACACGTGGCTCCAGCCCGGACAGCAACGGGAGATACATACATCCCAGGATATAAGTGCTCAGGAAGGATAGAGGAGGAAGAAAAGGAGGAGGGGCGGCAATGGGCACCGCTTGTCCTCCCACCGCAACCCTCAAGGCCCTGTCCTTGAGTGGTTTAGGTCGTTCCTCTCCCACCGTCTTCACTTTGTTTCCACGAATGCCTTCTCCTCCACCCCCCGCACTGTCTCGTGCGGTGTCCCTCAGGGCTCTGTCCTCGGTCCCCTCCTCTTCACCCTCTATACGCTCCCCCTGTGGTGATATCATCCGCAGACATGGGGTTCACTCCCACATGTATGCGGATGACACCCAACTCTACCTTTCCTCCTCTACTCTCAACTCCACGACCACCGATGTCCTGACAGCTGTCTGTCTGACATCGAGTCCTGGACGAGAGACAACTTTCTTCAGCTCAACGTGCAAAAAACCGAGGCCCTCCTGATTGGCTCACGTCAGCGCCTCCGCACCTCAGGCGCTGACACCATCAGCATCCAAGGCCGCACTCTCCACCTCTCAAAGCCATCAGGAACCTCGGGGTTCTGTTCGACCCTGAGCTGTCCTTTCTCCCTCATATCCGCGGCACAACCGGCACCGCCTTCCATCACCTCCGGAACATCACCAGACTACGGCACTACCTCACCCCTCACGCTGCTGAAACCCTGGTCCACGCCTTTATCACCTCAAGGCTGGACTATGGGAACTCTCTCCTCGTCGGCCTTCCCGGCCCTCCCTCCACACTGCCGGTCATTCAGAACTCTGCAGCTCGTGTACTGACCCGCACCAGGCTTCGTGACCACATCACTCCCACCCTCGCTCACCTCCACTGGCTCCCCATCCCCCAGAGGATCAAATTCAAGATCCTCATCCTCACCTACAAGGCCATTCACGGCCTCGCTCCCTCCTACCTCTCCGACCTACTATCCCCCAACTTATCTGCCCATACCCTCCGTTCCTCTGGCTCCGGTCTGCTCCACATTCCCCGCCCTAACTGCCCTACCATCGGTGGCCGTGCCTTCAGCCACTCAGCCCCGAGGCTCTGGAACTCCATCCCCAGTGCCTTCACTGCTTCCTCCCTTTCCTCCTTCAAGGCCGGTCTCAAGACCTTTCTCTTTGACCGTGCCTTCAGCTCCCCTCTCGACTCTACCTCCTCCTCGCTCCCTCCCTTCCCTCCTCTCACCCTGACCATTTCCCCCCTGCTCGGGTCCTGACACAGCTGTCCAGCGCCTTGGGACATCCTCCCGACGTGAAAGGTGCTTTATAAATGAAATGTTGTTGTTGTTGTTGTATTAGTTAATGATACAATTATAGCTGTAGAAAGGAAAGAGGCTCCGGAGGGCCCAACAATAGAATCCATCTGGTTAGAGATAAGAAATAAGAAAGGAGTGCTTACACTGATAGGGGTTTACTATAGACCACCAGACAGCGGGAAGGAGATAGAGGAGCAGATCTGCAACCAGATCATGGACAGATGTAGGGCGAACAGAGTTGTGATAATGGGGGATTTCAATTATCCCAATATAGACTGGCAAAATAGCAGCGCTAAGGGCAAGGCCGGAGAAAGATTCATAGACTGTGTACAGGAAAATTTTCTTGAGCAGTATGTCTCCAGTCCTACGAGGAAGTAAGCAGTGCTGGATCTAGTTCTGGGGAATAAAATAGGTCAGGTTGAACAGGTTTCGGTAGGGGAGTATCTGGGTAACATATTAATAGATTTAGATTACTCATGACCAGAAACAAAGTACAGTCAAGGGTGAAAATGCTTGACTGGAAAAGGGTTAATTTTGATGGGCTAAAAAAGGACCTAGAGTCGGTGGACTGGCAAGTAAGAATGGCAGGTAAAACGATTCATGAACAATGGGAGATCTTCAAAGATACGATAGCTCAAGGTCTAAATAGATATATTCCCACAAAAGGGAAATGTGCGACAACCAAGGCCGGCCTGGATGACCAGGAATATTCTGTCTAGGATGAAAAAGAAGAAGACGGCGTACGACAATTGGAAGACGCAAGACACTGAGGATAGCAAAGCGCATTATAGAGAATGCAGGAGTGATCTTAAAAGAGTGATAAGACAGGCTAAAAGATCGCATGAGAAGAGGTTAGCGGGTAACATAAAGGGGAATCCTAAAATATTTTACAAGCACATAAAGGAAAAAAGGTTAGTTAAAGGTAGGGTGGGGCCAATCAAAGACAATGACGGCAATCTTGTTGTGGAGGCAGAGGCCATGGCTGATGTACTGAACGAGTACTTTGCATCTGTCTTCACAACGGAAATGGATGCCCCAAATGCCGCAGTATTGGATGAGAGGGTAGAGGACATAGATCAGATTACTATAGACAGAGAGGAAGTTCTGAAAAGATTGACTGGGCTCAAAATTGATAAGTCACCAGGACCAGATGGGTTTCACCCAAGGTTGCTGTGGGAGATACGGGTTCAAATAGCGGAGGCTTTGGCCATTATATTTCAATCTTCATTGGACACAGGAGTGGTGCCAAGAGACTGGAGAGTGGCTAATGTTACCCCACTCTACAAAAAGGGGCAGAAAGACAAACCCGGAAATTACAGGCCAGTCAGCCTAACTTCGGTAATAGGAAAACTACTGGAGACCATAATCCGGGACAGAATAAATCTCTACTTAGAGGAACACGAGGTAATTAGAGACAGCCAACATGGATTTGTTAAAGGCAAATCTTGCCTAACAAATCTAATAGAATTTTTTGAAGAGGTGACTGCGAGGGTTGATGAGGGAAATGCGGTGGACGTTATTTACATGGATTTCAAAAAGGCTTTTGACACAGTACCGCATAAGAGATTAATAAAAAAATTAGAGGCCCACGGTATTAAGGGGACAGTGGCAGTTTGGATTAAGAACTGGCTGAGTGACAGAAAGCAGAGGGTGGTGGTTAATGGGTGTTTCTCGAAATGGAAGGAGGTGTGCAGCGGTGTCCCCCAGGGATCGGTATTGGGACCACTGCTCTTTCTAATATATATTAATGATCTGGACTTGGGCACAGAGAGCACTATTTCTAAGTTTGCAGATGATACAAAGTTAGGTAGAGTAGTAAATAGTGAGGAGGACTGTAACCAACTGCAAGCAGACATGCACATGTGGCAGATGGATTTCAATGTGGATAAGTGTGAGGTGATACACTTAGGTAGGAAAAATGATAGGAGGCAATATAGACTTGGTAGCTCAATCTTAAGGGGGTGAACGTACAGAGAGATCTGGGTGTTCAAGTAAGCGAATCATTAAAGGTAGCAGAGCAGGTAGATAAGGCAGTAAAAAAGGCATTTGGTGTACTGAGCTTTATTAGTAGGGGCATAGAGTATAAGAGTAGGGGTTATGGTTAATCTATACAAAACACTGGTTAGGCCTCAGCTGGAGTACTGCGTCCAGTTCTGGGCACCTTACTTCAGGAAGGACATTAAGGCACTGGAAAGGGTGCAGAGGAGATTCACGAGAATGATACCAGGAATGGGGAACCTTAGCTATGAGGACAGGCTGGAGAAGTTAGGACTTTTCCCATTAGAGCAGAGAAGGTTACGCGGGGACCTGATAGAGGTCTTCAAGATCATGAAAGGTTTCGACAGGCGAGATAGGGAAAAGCTGTTTCCGCTGGTAGGTGTGTCTGTGACCCGTGGTCACAGTCTTAAGATATCTACCAAAAGAAGCAGAGGGGAGGTTAGAAGAAATTTTTTCACTCAGCGAGTTGTTGGAATTTGGAATGATCTGCCCGAAAGGGCAGTGAAGTCCGATTCGATAACAGCTTTTAAGAGAGAACTGGATAGGTATCGGGGGAAGACGGGTTTGCAGGGTTATGGGGAGAAAGCTGGTGATTGGGGTTAGTGAAAGTGACGCTCTGTCAAAGAGCCGCACAGACTCGATGGGCTGAATGGCCTCCTTCTGTGCGTAACAATCTATCTATCTATCTCTCTCTCTCTCTCTCTCTCTCTCTCTGTCTGTCTGTCTGTCTGTCTGTCATATTCATAATTTGTATCTATAATAATTATTATTATTGTATCTATCCATCTGAATAATAATAATAATCCTTGCAGTTGATATAACGTCTTATCACATTGTTATCACGTTGCTGATACGTCTCAAAGCGCTTCACAGGATATATTGTAAAGTAAAGTGACTGTGTACTGTGTTTGTGAACCTTGGCAGCCAATTGCACGCAGCAGTGTGCCACAAACAGTCGTGGATTGAGTTATGAACTTTGTTTGACTTATGTTACCAACAACCACAAAATTACATTAGTATAGCGCCAAACCAACCTCCCAAGTAGCTGTGGAGTGCTGTAGCTCAGTGGTTAGAGCACTCGATTCCCGGCAGGGTGAAACCTTGGCCAAGTTTCCTTACTTCACACGACTGATAATAATCCCTCAAAAAAAATAATAAATTGGTTATTTTCAATCCACGACTGTTTGTGGGACATTGTGGAGTCCTGTAGCTCAGTGGTTAGAGCACTCGCTTTGCAAGCGAGAGACCTGAGTTCAATTCCAGGCAGAGGGCGAAACCTTGGGCAAGTTTCCTTACTCCACACAGAGCCTAATAATAATCCCTCCAAAACAAAAAACAATAATAAATTGGTCATTTTCAATCTACGACTGTTTGTGGGACATTGCTGTGCGCATTTGGCTGCCACGTTCGCCCACAAATATACAGTCAATTCACTTTACAGTATATTCTGTGAAGCGCTTTGGGACGTCCTCCCGACGTGAAAAGCGCTATATCAAATGCAAGGATTATTATTATTATTGTTGCTGTGCGCAATTGGCTGCCGCGTTCGCCCACAAATATACAGTCAATTCACTTTATAGTCTATTCTATGAAGCTTTGAGATGTCTAGAAAAGCGTGATATCAAATGCAAGTATTATTAATTCTAGCAGGCTGCATCAACTAACCGATTTCAGTAGCTGGAAAAAGGAAGCATGTGAAAAATCTGACTGCTGTTGAATTGTTTCATTTACAAGTCATGACTGTTAAAGTTATTTGACATCTAGTAAATAACTTTATTTTCAAGAAAAAGGTAGAAACTAGTGTTGTGCTTCCTTTTATAATAATAATCTTTGCATTTGATGTAGAGCCTTATCTTACTTAACCAGGTAAACAGAGGCGTGTGGAGTAAGGAGTCCTGTAGCTCAGTGGTTAGAGCACTCGCTTTGCAAGTGAGAGACCTGAGTTCAATTCCAGGCAGAGGGCGAAACCTTGGGCAAGTTTCCTTACTCCACACAGAGCCTAATAATAATCCCTCCAAAACAAAACAATAATAAATTGGTCATTTTCAATCTACGACTGTTTGTGGGACATTGCTGTGCGCAATTGGCCGCCGCGTTCGCCCACAAATATACAGTCAATTCACTTTACAGTGTGTTCTGTGAAGCGCTTTGGGACGTCCTCCTGACGTGAAAAGCGCTATATCAAATGCAAGGATTATTATTATTATTATTATTATTATTATTATTATTAAGGAAACTTGCCTAAGGTTTCGCCGCACCCGGGAATCGAACCTGGGTCCTCGCTTGTGAGGCGAATGCTCTAATCAATATAAGTTGAATTTATATAGCACCCTTCACGCCGGGTAGCGTCTCGGAGGGTTTAATAGTGGCGGAGTTTGACAATACAAGCCAATTTTCCCAGCGATTGCAAAGGCGATATTGATCGTTTGATCTGGGGAGGCTCTTCCTTCTGACTTTATGATTTGTGTATGAGTGAGAAGGGGGAGCATTAGGGAAACTTGTCAGATTGCGGCTGAATTGATTTCTCGATGATGTGCTATTTAATGAGTACAATCCAATAATCCTGTAACATTGAAAGTGCTTCACAGAGAACTGCTGCTCTCTGTAGCACTTTGTACAACTGTCCAGGGGAGTGTACTTTGTCTTCTGTCATAGGTCCCATGGTCAGTTTGAAAATCTAGACTCTTGTTTTTTGACGTTCACTCCTTTTTGTTTTCCCAGATGCACAGATAACTGGAGTTTGTCTGCCCAACTTGACGGAGTCTCACTTGAAGGAGCTGCATGTGGAGTAAGTCCTGAGGCTAAATTGAGGGCTTTCTGTTTGGTCTGTTGTCATTTTCGAGAGGAAAACAGGAAACCTGCACAACGCTGATTAGCACTTTTTAGTTGCTGCATGAACTTTTGACATTGTTGTCAGCTGATAGATGCTTCTCTGTGGCCCAGTTTCGGATTAGAAAGGGTGTGCCACCTTAGGCTTCTGAGCTGAGGGCATCAGTTGTGGTCACTGGATGACAGGAAGTTTCATAATAAATTTATTATAAATTATTCACATGCAAAAAATAATTACTCCACTTTACAATATATTCTGTGAAGCGCTTTGAGACATCTCAATGACTTGATAAAGTGTTGTATCAAATGCAAGCATTATTATTATTATTATGTGGCATGTTGATTTCTTTTTTGTGAATCAGTTTGCCTAACCTCTTGATAATGACCTGGGAGAGATGCATGTTGAGATGACCAGTGGATAATTCTTTTTCCTTTCCAGTTCCCTCGGATTGCGGTGGAAAGTTCTCGAATGTATCTGCCTACTTTTGCAGAACCCGATTGTGGTCAAGGTGAGAGAACGTCCCAGGCTCCCGCCCGTTCAGCATCTTCCTCGAGCAACTTTGGAAAATGGTTGGGGGTGGGGGGGCTTAACCAGTGGGTAAGGCGTTATCAGCAAAAGCAGAAACTAGCACTTTAAGGTTCTTATCTTGACCTTCCATTGCCTTCAGAAACTCCACACTGAGGAGGTGCCGTCTGTCAGATGAGGCATTAAACCAAGGTCCTGTCTGCTTGTTCAGGTGGATGTTAAGGGCACTTTTTGAAAAGGGAGTTTCTCTCTCTTCTGGCCGACAATCCCCCAAATAAAATTGGTTAATTGCTCCATGGATGTTTGTGGGATTGCTAAATGCAAACTGGCTGCTGTGTTTCACCCACAAAATACGCACTTAATCCACTTTACAGTGTATCCTGAAAAGTGCATTGAGATATCTCAAAGTTGTGATAAGGCGCAATATCAAATGCAAGTATTATTATTGTAATGCTCCCTCTGTAGGTCTTCAATGATCCTATTCACGGGCACATTGAGCTTCACCCGCTCCTCATCCGAATCATCGATACACCTCAGTTCCAACGGCTTCGCTACATCAAACAGCTTGGTGCAACTTACTTTGTGTTTCCTGGTGCCTCGCACAACAGATTTGAGCATTCCTTAGGGTAAGTGGTGGTGGTTGTTTGATGGGGTCCTGTAGCGTAGTGGTTAGAACATTCACCTCGCAAGCGAGAGGACCCAGGCTCAATTCTCGGGCGGGGCAAAACCTTAGGCAAGTTTCCTTACTCCACCTGCTTGTTTGCCTAGCAGTAATTAGGAACCCGATTGTTAGTCAATTGGAGAATATCTTTCCAGGAGTAATAATTCCTTNAAAAAAATTGGTCACTCAATGCACGACTGTTTGTTGGATGCTACTGTGTGCATTTGGCTGCCGCATTTCACCCACAAAATATACAGTCAATTCACTTTACAGTTTCTCCTGTGAAGCGCTTTGAGATGTCTCATAGACGTGATAAGATGCCGTATCAAATTCAAGAATTATTATTATCATAGAAATGCAAGTTGTTGTTTTCCCTGCAGGGTGGGTTACCTGGCGGGGCAGCTAGTGAAATCCTTACAAGATCGACAGCCAGAGCTACAGATCAGCTACCGGGACATGTTGTGTGTTCAGATCGCAGGGCTCTGCCACGACTTGGGTAAGCGTCAGCAGCAAAACCTCCCCCTAATCCCGCACTTCACAGCTGTTTATGGGGATGTCCCTCTGTGCTCACTGGCTGCTGAAAAATACACAGTAACTACACTTTTCGCCCACAAATATATGGTCAATTCACTTTACAGTCTATTATGTAAAGCGTTTTGAGACGTTGAGAAGACATGAAAAGCTCTGTATCAAATGCAAGGATTATTATTATTTACAGTAAATACTGCAAAGTGCTTTACTATAACCTCCCGACATAATAAACCACTGTATTAATTGCAAGGATTATTATTGTGTTTATTTTACCTAAACAACGTACACTTTCCACAATGTTCTAGTCCTTTTGTTTCTCTTTTCTATGTGATGCTTTGTTTAACAGCTTTGTTTGAATGCCAGAACCCAACATTAACACAGAGTATTTGTTCTCTATATATTTTAAAAAAACGTTTGCATTTTAAACAAATTCAGAGAATGCAGTGTAGGGGGCCAGATAAGGGTTAACATTGACCAAGCAGTCAAGGTTGGAGAAATGCAAATAATTTGGTTAACTATAAGTAACATCCCAAGTTAACAAACTGTGGCTCAGAGATTGACCCTGTTGTTGCAGATGTTTGTTCCTTGCTTGATAATCCATCAAATCTAATGCTGGTGATAGTGTCAAATGGCAATGACTGTTGGATGGAATGGAACTTGCTAAGGGGGAAGCTGAAAGCGATCTATAGGTGTTAGTTGGTTCCCTTGTCAAAACAATATGTTGTCACAATAAACCAGACAAAGAGGAGTCTGACTTTATTGGCAGTGAGTTGACTTTAGATTCCCTGAAGTGATACTTAAGATGTGGCCACATCGAGAGCATCACATACCGTTCTGGCCACCATCATATAAGGCGTGCCTAGGTCCAGGAAGCAGTGCAAAGGAGATCACCAAAAATGCTTCTCACAATGAGCTATGAGCAGTGATTAGACAAGCTTGGGCTTTTCAGTCTTGAAAAGACGTGTCTCAAAGGGGACCATATGATCTATAAGATTTTAAATGGGATTGAGAAAGTAAACAGCTGTGCCTTGCCCTCTATGTCCCAGTATGTGTGTGGGTCGAATGCTCCGAGCCCCCGAATTTTAAATCTTTTTCCTTTCTCTTGGCAGGTCACGGGCCGTTTTCCCACATGTTTGATGGAAGGTTCATCCCGGAAGCTCGTCCAGGGTTGAATTGGAAGGTAACGCTCTGGGTTGGGGTGGTGCAAGGTGATGCTAAAGGTATTTTAACCCGGGCTGTGGCCTCAGTAGAGTTCGGGTTAGGTCTTGGTGGATTAATGCTGACCTTTCATCGCTGGCCTCCGATTTCCAATTCCTCTAAAACTAGTGGCCGGAGGTCTTTCCCTTGCTCACCGCTGTAATGGCCCCTGGCAAGGGGAGGGAAAATGGACATGCAGAAGGCCGGAGCCAGTCGAGAGGAGGCAGCTGGTTGTGGGCTAATGTAAGACAAGTGCGCAGACCCATTACACTGGGTTTAAATCGACAAAAGCTTTAAGGGTAACCAGCGGTGAACAATATTGTAAACCTTGTGTCTCTTTGTCCCGCGTGGTGATCGCCTGCCAGCACGAGGAAGCTTCGTTGAAGATGTTTGAATATCTGATCGAATCCAATGACCTGACGGAGGTTTTGGAAGAGCACGGACTGGTGCTCCCAGAGGATATTGACTTTATTAAGGAGCAGATTGGAGGCCCAGCCACAGCGGGCCAGAGCAACGGAGAGTGCAGCAGCAGCCCCCAGTCACAGGTGGTTAGTGAGATTATATCAGATTATTTTGGTCTGCCATATGAGGAAACCCATCACCATTAAGAGTATCCAAACCAAACTGAGAATTCCATGCATCCCAGCTACATACGAAAATTCCTTGAGACAGATTGTAAGAATGGAATGCACACTCTCTCTCTGGAGGGATGCATCCTGCTTACCTAATTCCAGAAAGTATTAGGCGCAGATTGGCAAAAGCCTAGGCTTGGGGGAGCCCAGAGTGTGCGCTGGGGTAACTGCTGATCAGCTAAAACCGTATAGCTTGCCATCAAAAGTACCACTGCTTGTCCAGCTTGGAACACCCTACCCGTTAAGGCTTTGGCTTGCAGGGTTAAGATTGATTTTTGAAGAATTTTTCCACAGTTCTGTGTCATCCTGAATTTTAAAACCACAAGAAGCTTTGGGGGCCTAGGATTGGGATGTAACCTTGTGATCTTAAAATTCTGGTTGATCTTAAAATTTGAGACAAAACTAGGTGGAATTTCAGGCCCCAGATGTCTGACCCACTTCTTTAACCCATCGGTACCTGTGGCAATGGGATTGGAAACTAACTGGTGCTCTTCTCCTTTCAGTGGAGGTACATAGGGAGGCCTGAAAGCAAGAGCTTTCTGTATGATATCGTGGCTAATAAAACCACTGGGATTGATGTGGACAAGTGGGATTACCTTGCCAGGTAAGCCAGCTCTCATAATCCTCTCGCACTAACCAGCAATCACTTGGCACATGAATCTGTTCCCCTCTCCTACACTTCTCTTTTCACTTCTTGCTCATGCATGCATCACATTTCCTCTTGAACAGGTTGATGCTTTTTTTGCTTCAACCACAGCTTCCGGCAGTGAGTTCCAAATTCTCACCACCATCTGCAGAAACTAGTTCCGCTCAACCTGTCTTTTAGATCTCGTGCCAACTATGTATGTTACATTGTTCCTTATTTCATCTTGCCTTGATCTTATTTGCTCTATTCTAGTTCTCTGTGGCTTATTTGACCTTCTTTAATTATTTCGTCCTGTACCCCTTGTCTCCTGGGTTCCTCTACCATAGCTCCTTACGGGTTCTCTTTGTCCACTTCTGCATTGTCTTGTGTAATGCCCAGACTGATGACACTCAACACTCGTTTCCTTCCGCTGACCATCTCCAGAAAGGATGCACTAATCCACACCGTTCACATGTTTCCTCTATATCTGTTTGTCTTTTAGGCCTGTATATCCTCCGTGCTCCATATTCCTCATCTGCATCAATCCAATGAATTCATCAATTTCCTCCTGATGGGCTCCCGTCACCGCCTCCACATCTCAGGCGCTGACAGGATCACCATCCATGGATGCACACTCCACCTTACTAAGCCAGTCCGGAACCCTGAGGTCTTGTTTGACTCTCAATCATCCTTTCTACCCCACATCGGTGTCATGACCTGCTCTGCCTTCCCCCACCTCCGCAACATTGCCCGGCTCCACCACTGTCTCACACCAGAGGCCACCGAAACCCTAATTCACGCATTCGTAACATCCAGGCTGGACTATGCGAACTCCTTGCTTGTCGGCCTCCCCAAGTCCTCCCTCCATCCCGCAGTGCCTCTGCCTCACAGAACTATTTGCAGAGATTTTTTGGGGATAAAGTCTCCTCTTTCAAGAGCTTGCTGGGTATTTTATTATTTTTGAATCCTAATACAATTTGGTCCCTGATCACTTCTTCTTTTAAAGTTCCATAATTTACATGTTTTACTTCCAAATTTGTATCTTATCTACTGTGACATTATTATGTCCACAAATCTTTCCCACATGATCTCTATCATTGCATCTAATGGCATGTCCACATTTTTCTCCGTAGTTACAAAGTAATCCCTTGCTTTTTCTGCCACATTTAAGAAAATAGCCAGCTGCTGTATTTGTGGCATTTTCTTCACATTTGAGGCCTGCACAAATATTTTAAAATCCTGCTCAAACCTTTGCCAATTGTGTCTTAAATTACTTTCTAACCTCAATGTTCGTGGTATTTGCACATATCTTGCCATGACATCTGTTTCTGCTCTTCCAACACTCATTTTGTCTCTTTTATCGTCTCTGTTCAATCTCTTAGACTTTTCCAATTCAGTTCAGTTTTACTTCTGACACCATGTTATGTTCTCAACACTGTATGTGTAGAAAACGATTCTATTCTCAGCTCACAAGTTACAAATCAAGCAAATCAACCAAAAACCCTTCAGTCAGTTCTCCCTGCTTCCTACTTTCTACCTCCTTCCATTGGTGCCAGTTAATTGATCCTTATTTTCTGAAAGGGTATCCAACATCTTATAGAGTAAAACTTGCATAATTCCTTTTGTTATAAATCGTATAATCACCTAAGTCATACATACAGTCAATTCACTTTACAGTGTGTTCTGTGAAGCGCTTTGGGACGTCCTCCAGACGTGAAAAGCGCTATATCAAATGCAAGGATTATTATTATTATTATTATTATTATTATACACCCGAGTCCCATTCAGTTTCCTACCAAAAGCCACTTGGATTTATTTGCACTAGTTATATTTTATAAATTGGGTAAATGGCTAAATCGTAACGGTTTCTTGGTCCCAAATACATACTATATCCTGTGCAAATCATCTCCTAAGTTGTAACACTGCTAGCCCACTTACTAACTGCCGGTCCCGCACTTGTTTCAGACATTGCCTTATCAATGAAGTTTCATGGGAAACAAAGTCTTGATTCATCACCGCATGCATGTTTACTGGCTGCAGTGGTGAAATATCGCAGGCTCAGCACAGTTCAGTTGAAACAGTGCAGAAAACCAGGACTTGTTTACTGTTATCCCTTGCCTCCAACAAGGCATGTCTCAAGATCTTCCTTTTCGACTGTGCCTTCGGTCATCTTCCCTCCTCCAATGAAATAATAATATTAATGCCTGCATTTGATGTAGCATCCATTGGGTCAGCGAGCATTGCGGTTACTTCCAAACTCTGGAGCTCACAAGGATCTTAAATTGTCTGTTTTCAGGGATTGCCACCATCTGGGAATGAAGAATAATTTTGACTATAGTCGTTGCCTGAAGTTTTCTCGAGTGTGTGATGACAATAAGAGAAAGCTCATCTGCACCAGAGATAAGGTAACTGATCAAAGGCCATTGCGCTCAAAGGATTAATAGTCGAGTTGTAATCGCCAACTGGTGGGAAAGTATCCACACTGACCCATTATGGGGAGGGTATCCGGCGCATTGACTCCAGGGCGGAATTTGATTGGATGACCCATTCCCCCCTCTCTTTGTGTTCACGCTCAGAATCTCATGCTGCATATTCCAGTATTACAGCTTTTTTTCTCTTTCTACCTTTCCCCCACACCCCATCGCACACCAGGAGGTCGGCAACTTGTACGATATGTTTCACACTCGCAACTGTTTGCACCGTAAGGCCTATCAGCATCGTGTGGGAAACGTCATCGAGATCATGTGAGTAAAGCTGAGTTACATTTGTGCCACTTTCGCTGACAATACAGTCACTAGGCGTGGCAGTCATTCCCCGCGAAGCACTTGGAGATGTTGGTGACGTGACAGGTATTCAATCAAATCCAAGGATTGTTGTTTGGATGCAAGGAAATTTTCAGCACTGACAGTGGCTGTTCACTCATTGTATTCCTGCTGCTGCTCTGTCTCTCCTTATTGTGTTAAACTGAGATCCCGTTTGTCTGTTCAAGTGGATGTTAAAGATCCCACAGCACTTTTTGAAAAGAGAAGAGTTCCTCTCTCCTGGTGTCCTGGCAAACAATCCCCCAAATAAAAAAGGTCATTCACTCCATGGCTGTTTGTGGGATGTTGCAATTTGGTGTCGCGTTCCCCCCACAAAATACACATTCACTCCACTTTACATTATTTCCTGTGAAGCGCTTTGAAACATCTCGATGACGTGATAAGGGGCTGTATCAAATCCAAGGATTATTATTGTTGTTTTCGCCAGGATCATGGAAGCAATGCTACTTGCAGACAAGCACATGGAGATCCCCGGGTCGGGGGGAAAGACATACACAATCTCCACTGCGATTGACGACATGGAGGCTTACACCAAACTCACAGGTCAGCGATCGCTGTTAGATTCGGTCTGAAAGCCACAACTCCTCAGCACTGACAGAGGCCATTCAACCCATGGTGTCCGTGCTGCTGCTCCATCTCTCTTTATTACTCTATCTCTTCATTACACTTACTACCCAGCTCTCTCCAAACATCACTTCATCTGCTTTGGAATTTATTGAGTTCCCTTTTGAACAATTATATTGATCCTGCCTCTCAAAAGCCACTTATCCCAAAGTCCTAATGACCCTCTAGGTGCGAACATTAATTGCGTCTTTTGTGAGTTTCAGGAGCCAGCTCTTAGAAATAACCTCTTCCTGGCCTGACTGTTTTGTTGCTTTTCCAGATGAGATTTTTCACCAGATCCTGTATTCCCCGAAGGCTGAGTTGCGTGAAGCGCAGGAAATCTTAAAAAATGTCGTCTGTCGGAAACTCTATAAGTGCCTTGGAGAGACCCAACCTGAGGCACCGCTTCAAATCGACCAGGTCAGGCTTGGCTTGCTGTTCCTCTGCTGCGAATGCTGCATTCTGGTTCACTTTTAAAGCCCTCCATGGTCTTGCTTCTCCCTACCTGAGACCCATTAAAACTTCACCAACCTCTCTACTTGGTGGGCACTGGTTTGCCCCGTTCCCTGGCCTGCCTACTCCACTACTGGCGGTCAGGCCTGCAGCCTTTCTGCCCCACGTTTTGCAACTCCATCCCAGATCCCTCCACATCACTCCCTCCATTACCGCTTTCAAGACCTTCTACTGACTGCCTTCGGTCATCTTCCCTCCTCCACCCCCTTGCCTTCCACCCCTCTCTAATTCCAACTCCTAGCTCAGGGGCAAACCCTCATTGTCCAGTGAGAAGCGCTGTATAAATGCAATTTTTGTTATTGTTACTAATCCTCAGTGGGCAGCCTCTGGCATCAGAAAGCTTTGGGATACGTTTGCTTGAGCTCACTGTCTAAGCTGACGATCTAGGGCAGTGGTGGGGTGGGCAAGACTGGCTTCCCTACAAAAAATATTAGTCATGCCTTATGGCGATGAGCGGTCAAGCAGCGAGGTGCTATAATAACGCTATTTCTTTTTGCTGTCAGGAAGAGCGTAACGATTTTGCCAAGCAGGTGGCTGCTGCTGTTCCCCTCCAAGCTATGGACAGCAGTCTGGCCCCAGAGGACTTTATAGTCACTGTAAGTACTGTTTTCCTCCCCCCCAACTTATGCCTTGTGATTCCCTACCTTCTTTGCGCTGTGTAACTACCCCTCAAGACTCCAGCCTGCAGCTCGGATGCAAACTTTTGACTTTCCAGAGCTTTCCCGTCGTAAAACGCTTTATAAATGTTGTTGTTGTACGTCCCAATCCCCCTGTGCTGGGGAATGGGATCCTGGCCTCAGTATCTCTGCTGAAGACCTTTCTTTTCGACCATACCTTTGGTCACCTTCCCACCCCTCCCCCAGGCTCGGTCCCGGGATCCTAAACTGTAAAGTACTCTGAGACGCCGTCCGACGTGGAGGGCGCTATATAAATCCAAGTTGTTGTTGTAATAGGCACTAATTCCTGTATATTCGCCTGCAAAATACACTCACTATATCTTGCAGTGTATCCTGTGAAGTTCCCCAATGCAATACAGTGCTGTATCAAAGGTCAGGATTATTATTATTAGGTACAAGACTCTATCAGTGTACTTGAAAAAGAAATTACCCAAAACACCCAGGCAACACAGGAAGGGGTTTGGGGCAGCTGTGACCGAGTGGAGTCAATGGGCTGAACGTGTAACGCTCTGTTATGCTCAGGTCATTGAGATGAGCTACGGAATGAAAGACCAGAACCCCATCAACAAGGTTCGCTTTTATGCCAAAGAGGACATGAACAAAGCATTCAAGATTCGCAAAGACCAGGTAACGACCCTGTTGACCTATCTGCACTTCTCTCCCTCTAACTCCTCCACCCCTTGTCTATCTGTCTGTCCATAGTCACACTTGAATAAGTGGCTTTATAAAGGAGTTTGGTAAATAACTGAGGAGGGAGAAAACGTGGGGAGTTAGAGACTGAACGGACTGAGAGCTTTCAGAGAGACGGCTAAGACACAATGGGCCCATGGCCTCCCGGGCTGTATAATTCTCTGATCCAGGCCTCATTTATCATTCTGTAGTAAAACTTTTGCTGTGTTTTTAATTTTGACATTTTAAAAATTGCTTTCTTTCTTTACGCTCTTTGTTGCTGTCGGGAGCTTAATCTGAACCTCTGCCCTGCACTGCTCAACCCCAGGTGTCTCAGTTGCTGCCGGTGATCTTTACGGAACAGCTGATCCGTGTTTACTGTAAGAAAACTGACCCACAGAATATGGAGGCGGCCAAGAAGCATTTTGTTCAGTGGTGCATGAACAAGAACTTCACCAAACCCAGGGTGAGAAGCTGGGATCAGCGCCAGAGAATATACACTGTCCTTCATCTGTTTGTGTGTGTGTGAGAGAGAGAGAGAAACAGCCTTATCGCAAAGCACCAAAGCGTTTTACACTAATCGCGATCTAGTGTAAATGACTATTTGTAGGCAAGGTCCCACAAACAGCCGTGAGGTCGATGGCCATTTATTCTGGTCAATTGTTGTGGAAGATACCAGGGGGAGAAACTCCCTTCTCATTTCTCAATAGCTGTCAATGTCAGCTGGCTCTGTCGGTCCCTCTCGTGCCTCTAGCTTGGAGAGTTGTAAGTTCGAGCCCCATGTAGGCAAGGAGAGACTTTGAGCATAGTGACTGGGATTAGTGTGACATTGTCAAGAGACACCGTCCTTCACATGAGTCATTAAACTGAGGTCCTGCCTGTGTATGTTCAATTGGAAGTTAAAGGTTCCACAATGCTATTGGAAAATAGAAGGGAGTTTCTTCCGGCATTCTGGTCAAAGCCTCCAATAAAGATAAACTGCTCACTGACATCCTGGCTGTGTGCGGGACCTTGCTGTACCGCATTGGCCACAATACTTGACAGTCATCGCTGTGAAACGTTTAGAGACATTTTGATGAGGTCAGCATTGTAATACAAAATAGTTTGTTCGTTCTTTTCTTTTCATTCATTCTTTAGTTCTCCATTCTTTTATTCTCTATTTTGTTCTATTTTCCCAGCGCCTTTGACTGTCCTTCCGATGTGAAAAGCAATATAGTTCTTTCTTTCTTCCTTCCTTTATCTCTCTCTAATGCAGTCCTAGTGATGGTGGATTTGCTTTCCTGCACCTTGCCCTTTAGGACGGTGATGTGGTGGCACCTGAGTTGACTCCGCTGAAGGCCAGCTGGAATAACAACCGCGACGAGGTCGAGTCTGACTCCTTACAGCTTCCCAACAACCACAAGCGTCTCAAACCAAAGATGAGGCCACTGAATTAGAGAGTTCCCGCTTTCCACGAGGTCCGAGCCCAGCCACATCGTGTGGGATCACCTCAGCGCCTCGCTTTTGGTTTTTTTCTTAAAAACCGTGGGCGAACTCCTGATACAAAGGTCACCTCAGATAATGGATCATTTTAAATGAAGAAAATGAAACTTTGTATAAATTGTTCTAAATCGGAAGGGAAGTGGCCTGAAAATTAGTCTTTTTTAAACGAATCAGGTACTCTGATATCATGAAACCCAATCTCTAAATATACAGTTTGTTTCTTCCTTTTTTAAAAAAATACACAGCAATGAAACCCCAGGTAACCTCAGGAATCTGACTTGTTTTCACATGTTAAATTGCACAAATGTACTGAAGAAACAGCAGGATTCATTTGATTCACGGTAAGGAGCCAAGTTTTACTCACCAAGCCTTAAAGAACTGTAAGCCTAGACATTGGGTTCAAACACTGTGTTGGGACTTGAGCCTCAGTGTCCAGGCTGACACTCCAGCCCAGAACTGGGGGGAAAAGGGGGTGGAGGATTAGATATTAAACCGTGGTTCAGTCTGCCTGTTTTTCAGGTGGATATTAAATATCTATTTGAACAGAAAAGGGCATTTCATTTGTGTCCCGCTGACAATATCCACTCCAATTTAAAAATGAGTCACTTACTTCACAGCAGTTTGTGGGATACTGAGGGTACAAAATGGCTGCCATATTTGCTGACAAAAAGCTCCTGGGTCTTCAGGCTTGGGAAATACATTGACACTTTTCGATGTCTAAAAGAAAATTAGCAGGCTCTTTCTTTCCTGAAATTGAACGATTTTTACTCAGCTCTGGTCAGCTGAAAGCGCAGATTTTTCATTTCAACTTGGTATCAGCGGGAGTGGGGAGAGGAGGAATTTTTCTCTGCGCGCTGAGACAGTTAATTCAGTTCAGTAATTGCACGTTGATTGTTTCTGCCGACTGTTGATCAATAATAGAATATGGATGAGCATACCTGTGTATCACGGATCCCACCAGCGCTGAGCAGTGGGGGGAGCAGTGTTTGACAGCTACGATCCCTACTATTTCTTACCCCACCAACCCCCCATATCTCATTTATTTAAGGGTTTATTATATTTTACACAGATTCATTCTAATCTGAATTTTGCTTTCTGTGTTTTTTTAAAAAAATTGTGTTTTTGTGTTTGAGTTGTTTATTTCTCCTCTGCGTGCGGAGTTGGGGTTTCCGGTGGGGAGGATTAAAAAATGTTGAATATTTTTGATCTTAATCCATCAGGTTTTCCAGAGAGTTTTAACAGGAATCGTCCTGTTTGTATCAGGGATTTTTTGTTTTGTTTTAAAAGCATTTTTTAAAGAGAGAATGACAGAGAAAAAAATCTGAAGGAACACTGAGCATTTTAATCGTTGAGGGATTTTTTTTCTCTCTCTGAAATGGGGAAAATTTGAACAAGAAGGAGCTGTTTTGTACAGGAGTGTTTTGTCTGGATGGATGAGCAGATAATTGAAATAAGTTTTTGAAAGGAGAAAGATCGGAATCTTGTTTTGAAGCAGCCTTTCCGTTTGAGAGAATTGTGAAGCAATCTTGGCCTCAGTCGAACTCGGCCCTAGTCAGCAAGTGACTGGGACTCAATCCCCATTGAAATTCTATGCACGGATCAGGAGTGAGTTTTACCTGGAGGATGGGAAGAAGCCATAGTAAATATTTTACAATGTGGATCTTACATTTGTACATAGTTTACATTTGTATTAAAAAAGTTTCACAAGATCTTTGCCTACTGTAAAATGATGGATGTGAAGTGGGGGAGGGAGATAATCCCAGGATTTGTTTTTGAAATGTAACCCACATTCAAAGACTGGTTTATATATTTAGAAAGACAATTAAAAAAAAGTCATTTATAAGATTGTTCGATCAAACTCTTCAAATATGCAAATATGAAACTGAATTGCACTCCAGTGTGGGTTCATAAGTAACCCAATTCAAACCAACTGGTGTCAGGTTTTATATCTTACGTTCTTGAATATGAACACGTCGATCAATGCACTCAATGCATGGCCCTTGTTTTGTGGATGTTTGCGTGTGTGTGTGTGCGTGTAGAAGTATGTGTGAGGAAAGTGGTTGTAGTGGAGAGAAATTGCTCTCTAGATCTACCAGGAACATTGCAGGTAGCCTGATATGGTTCCAGATTAGGGAGGGGGTGGTCCCTCAAATTAACAGAGAATGTGATGCCCATCTTATAACCCACACGTAGGTTGTGTTGCTGGGCTGTACCACAAGGGTTGTTGCTGGGTTGACTGTTGTGCGCTGCATTTGCTGTGAAAAATAAGTGACTGTGTGTGTGTGGAGAGAGGCAGGTGGGGGGGCTACTTTGCGTTCGCATTGGAAGCGACGATCAGACTGTATCCACACACACGTATATATTAATACCTGCACCGTGCCTTTCTACCAAGCTTGTGAGTGCAGTTGTTTGTTCTGCCCGGGTTTTGTATTTACTCTAACGGAGTTATTTGTATTTTCTGTTTTGGTGGGTGTGCAATTAATAAACCTTTACTTACTAAAGTCTCTCTGTTCCGCTCGGCACTGGCAGGTTTCTGAACTCCTCCCCAACCACAGTGTCGGTGGCAGCAAATCAGCACTGTGTCACGACACCTCTGCTGAGCTCTGGAAACTCGGTCCTGCATGACAATCCCCCCCCCCCCACCCAACACCCCCAAAATAAAACCACTCACTCTCCAACTTCATGTCTGTTTGGGAGAGATACCGCTGGGCGCAAACTGTCTGCCGCATTCGCCTACAAAACACTGTATCTTAACCCTCACACAGAGGATGCAGTTCAAGATCCTGGTCCTCACCTTCAGAGCCCTGCACGGACTTGCTCCCCCCCTACCTCTCCCACCTCCTAACCCCCTACCACCGTTCGCTCCCTCCGCTCAGCGGGCTCCGGCCTGCTCTCACGTACCCCCGCCTCGCTCGCCCCACTAGCGGCGGGCAGTACTCGCGCCACTCTACCCCCACCCTCTGGAACTCCACCCCGCAGTCCCTCTGTCTCTCCCCATCTTCAACACCCACCTCAAGATCCTCTTCGACCGTGCTTTCAGTCTCCCTGCTCCCCCCCCCCCCCGCCCCGCCCTCCCCGAACCTCAGCTCCATAACTCTGTCTGTCGGGCGCTTTTGCGCCATTCTCCCGATGTGAAAGGCGCGAAACCCAACGCAGAGAGTATCTCAGTAACTGTGGATCAAATAGGGTTCTGTCCTCCAGAGCTCGTTAATTCAACATATTGTGAGGTAATTTGGGGTATTCCCCCCACACACATATATATATATACAGTGAAATTCCCCTCTCAAACCCTCTCTCAGTTGTCTTGACAAACGTATCTGCATTAACCAGGTGACGCCATACCTCAGGGCCCCCCCACGGGCTGAGGCGGTTTGGGCTGTGATTGACGCCTTCACCTCACGGCTCTGCTTCTTCCCGCACTTTCCGCTGTGAAGCAACGCGGTGGGTGACGGGAAGCGGGGCGGGGCTGGAGGTCCGATTCATACCTCCAGGCCCGCCCCCCGGGTGCTGTCACTCACCCTCGTGCCTCGCGCAGCCTGGTGAGTGACAGCAAAAGGGGGGCGGGGCTGACAGTCCCCCACACCCACTTGGGCATTCGTCTGATTAGGGTGTTCTGCCTATCTGCCACCACTGGAGGGCGCTGCGGGGCCAATGGTCAACTCAACTGCAAAGTCTTGGCCCAATGTGTTGCGTAACGATCCTTGTATTTGACACAGCGCCTTATCACGTCTCCGAGGCGTCTCAAAGCGCTTCACAGGATATACCGTAAAGCGAATTCACTCTGTGTTTTGCGGGCGAAACTCGGCAGCCATTTTGTGCACAGCAGCGTCCCCACAAACAGCCGTGGGTTGAGTGGCCAAATTACTATCGTTTTAGGCGCGGGATTGATTTCAGTGAAGGTGTGAGGAGATCGCTGGCTGTGTCGCTGTGGAGGATTTTGTTTGATAGATATTATCACAAGCCACAGCTCGGGTCGAGATCCCTGACTGTCCAGCTCCTTGGGAAGTCCTCCCAATTTGAAAGGCGCTGTGCAGATGTAATTTGTTGTTGTTGAAAGCCTTGCTTTTCCATCAACCCTCCCCCCAGCACCATCCCCTGCTTGCCCACGCCCAGAATAAAGATTGAAAGCACGATCGAAGAGGAGGGTCTTGAGATGGGTCTTGAAGGTGGCAAGAGAGGGGTCAAGGCGGAGGGACTGCGGGATGGAGTTCCAGAGGGTGGGGGCAAAGTGGCGGAAAGCCGACCCGCTAATAGTGGGTCAAGCCAGGCGGGGCGTGAAGCAGACCGGAGCCCGCTAAGCGGAGGGAGGAATAGGATGGTAGGGGGTTAGGAGGTCGCAGAGGTTGTGGTGAGCAAGACCCTGGAGGGCTTTGAAGGTGAGGACCAGGATCTTGAACTGTATCCTCTGTGTGATGAGAAGCCAGTAGAGTCGGCGAGGATGGAAGTGATAGGGTCATGGAGCCGAGTGCGGGAGAGGACACGGGCTGCAGAGTTATGGATGATCTGCAGCCTGTGGAGGGAGGAATTGGGGAGGCCAAAAAGCAATGAGTTTGCATAGGTGAGCCTCGATGTAATGAAAGCATGTATGAGGGTCTCGGGGGCCTGCGATGTGAGACAGAGGCGGAGCTGGGCAACGTTTTGGAGGTGTGGGGAGGCAGAGCGGGTCATGGCACAGATGTGGGGTAGAAAGGATAGTTGAGGGTCAAACAAGACCCCAAGGTTCCGGACTGGCTTAGTAAAGTGGAGTGTGCAACCATGGATGGTGATGCTGTCAGCACCTGAGGTGTGGAGGCGCTGACGGGAGCAAATCAGGGGAGAGCCTCGGTCTTGTTGATGCTCAACTGAAGAAAGTTCGCTCTCATCTTGGACTTGATGTCTGACAGACATTCTGTCAGGACAGCAGTGGACCTGGAGTCAAGGTGAACGCAGAAAGATAGAGTTGGGTGTCGTACATGTGTTGTTATGCTGTCAGCCTTGTTCTGTCATTAACACTTGTGCCTTGACATCATGAAGTTGTGGGTTCAGGCCCTGGCCAGCGGGGGGCGACCTTGGTCTACTACGCCAGAGACATCGCTAGCCTGGCTTCCTGAAATATTCCCGTGTGATCCGGTGATGTTCCCATGCTCTCCACATTTGAAAGAGGCCATGAACAAGGTTATCTGCCTTTTATTTCTGCTTCATAGCCTCACAAAGCCCTCACGTTGGGGACTTTGAGCTCAGAGTCCAGGCTGGCGCTCTGAGACGCTACCCTGCACGAGGGATGCTATATAAATGTAAATTGTTGTTGTTGACCCTCCAGCGCAGTGCTGTGGAGTGAGTGGGCGTGTGGGGTGGGGGGGGCATTGCATTGTCAGAGATACTGTCTTTCGGGTGAAGTGAGAGTTCCTCCCGGTGTCCTGGCCGACAATTCCCAGACAAAATTGATTGTTTGCTTCATGGCTGTTTGCGGCACGGCACTGAGCACAAATCATCAGCCATGTTCCCCTACAAAATACACAGTCACTTCATTTAACAGCAGTTACCTGTGAAGCCCTTTGAGGCGTTTCAACGTGATTGTATTGTATTATTACAGTAAACTGCTGATAACTCGAGAGAAACTCCATTTTCTTTTCGAACAGCGCCATTGGAGTTTAATGTCCATCTGAACAGGCAGACAGGACCTTGGTTTGACATCTCAGCCGAAGGAAGGATATTAGACAGAGGACTCAGAGAACTCTAAATTGGACGGTTCACACAACCTAATCCTCAGCAAATGATCCCATCTCCCCATTAATCTCCTGATGTCTGTCTCCAATGTATCAGTCCTGCATTGGTCTCTGAGGGAGGGGGGGTGGGGGAGGGGGAATGAGGATGAGGCAGTGGGGGTTTAGAAGTGGGGGAAAAGATTCTTATGCTTATCCCGGCCGATCAGGTAGACTTGGCTTCTGTGGGAAATGTTAGCAGAATGACAATCAACAGCTGTGGGAACAGCTCGGAGCCTGTGCTGAATGGGGCAGTCAAGTCAGGACAAAGAAATCAGGCAGTGGAGTAGTTTTGGTAATTAATCACATATAGGAAGTGGGTTGTCAACTCCTGTTTCAGTCCTCGGTCAGTCATTCAGTCAGCCAGTCAACGCTGCCCACACTCAGAGTCAAACAGCTGTAATGCTAACAGAAACAGAAGTGGCTGGGAACACTCAGCAGGTCAGGCCGCATCTATGGAGAAAGGAAGGAGAGTCAACGTTTCGGGTCCACAACCCTTCGTCAGAAATGGGGCATGTTGGGAGGGAGAGGCTTTTAAGGGCTAACAGAGAGGGGGGAGGCCGGGCAATGAAGACAAAGGAGAAAATGAGGTAGAGGACAGTGGATGATGGGTTAAAGAGGTGTCAATCAACCTGTGGACAAGGAGGAGGCCGGAGCCACTCGACTGGAGGGAGAGAGCAGGTTGGCGAGGAGGGGGGGAGCCAGGGTGTGAAGGGATTTAAATACAAAAGTGAGGATCTTGAAATCGATCTACTGTGTGAGTTTTGTGAATAGTGGAGCAGAGGAGACCAGCGAGAGTAGTCGAGGCGGGAGATGACGAAGGTGCGGACGGGGGTTTCGGCAGCTTTTGGTAGTGAGGTACGGACGGAGGTGGACAACGTGGCAGAGGGGGAGGAAAGCGATCCTTGGCCAGGGACCGGATGTGGGGTACAAAGATAGCTGGGGATCGAACCTGATGCCTAAGGTTCAACTGACTCTGTGAAGCGCTTTGAGATGTCTATATCAAATATAGCAAATGCAAGGATTATTATTATTGTTTATCACCCAATAACACATGTCAGAGTGACTGGGGGACACACACGGAGGTGATGGTGGGGTGAGGTGGGGGGGAAAGGAGCGCGATCAATGGAGGGCTGGAGCTTAAATATTGTCGGCTAACAGAACAGCTAGCTGGTCACTCACATTGAGGTTTGCAGGAAAGTACCTTTGACAGACCTTTCGAGGCTCATAAACCCGGGCGTAAATCAGTAGGTATTCATTGCACGGTCCAGGGATATTTCATAGAGCTGGGAATGCCAGTGCTTTGGGTCTGACAAGTTGTTACGATGGTTGCTATAGTGGTTAGCACGTGGAACACACAGTCTGAGACTGGTTGAGGCAGAATCCATATTAGTCTTTAAGAGGGAATGAGCTAAATATCTGCATAAGATAAATAAAATAAATGTATTTATTTTAAATTTATTTATTATTATTAACAAATTAAATAAAATTCCCCGAGTCCCCATTACTAGTTCGCTCTGTCTCCTCTTTCAAGACCTAATTCTCAATAATCCACCACCCTAAACCACACATAACCCAGCTGGCAGTATCGAGAACTTTGAGATGTCTTTCCGACGTGAAAAAGGATCTTTGTAACTGTTGTTATAATAATAATAATCCTTGCATTTGATATAGCGCCTTATCACGTCTTCGAGACGTCTCAAAGCGCTTCACAGAATATACGGCAAAGTGAATTGACTGTATATGTTGTGGGTGAAGCA